AGCTTTCCAGAAAATGACATCACTAATCTTTCAACCGACAGCGCCATCTAGTATCGAAATTGAAGAACTAAGCTTTCTGGAAGCCCCAAACTCGAATTTTCTGCGCTTGGTCGGTTGGCGCGCGTATTTACTCGAATATTCTGGAATATTCTGGATGTTTTCGTGGAAGAGCCCTATATAAAGGCGCTGCAATACGCGATCGGGGAAGTATTGAATTTGGCGAGACAAGCGAAGCTTCGGAGCGGAATAAAGTTAATCAGTGTGATTAATTGTTAGTGTTTTAAGTTTTAATTGGTGTAAATAAAATTAAAGTGTTAATTTAGGTAATTCTATCGGCAATTTTTATTGTCACGAACCTCAAGCTCGTAACAATTGGTGTCAGAAGTGGGATTAAATCATGCCGATTTTACCTAAGGAGGAAACGGAGGGTGTCCGTACCCGAAGTCAACGCCAGCAGGAGACGGACCAAAGAAGATTTGGTGGTGCAACGCCGCAGACGTCGGAGGGCCAGCCGCCGGCTGCAGGCCCGTCAGTAGCTCCTACAACTGCAGCACCTGACTTAGGTGCTCTGATGGTGATGCTGCAGGAGCAGGCTCGCCGACAGGAGGAGCAGGCCCGTTGGTTGAAAGAGCAGCAGGAGGAACAGGCTCGCCGACAGGATGAACAGGCTCGCCGGCAGGAGGAACAGGCCCGCCAACAGGAGGAACAGGTCCGTCGGTTGGAAGAGCAGCTGCGGGGCGGACAGGATGAACAGGCCCGCCGACAAGAGGAAGAGGCCCGCCGACAGGAGGAACAGGCCCGTCGGTTGGAAGATCAGCAGGCGGAACAGGCTCGTCGGTCGGAAGAGCAGATGCTCCTCATGAAGGACCTTCATGCTACCTTTGGGAAAGAGATAAGGGAGGTGAAGGATAGGGTTGCTCAACATGACAACCGCCTGTCGGAAGCTGAAACCCAAATCAAGGAAGCTAAAACCCAAATCGACCAAGTGAACAATTGGGTTGATTACGTGGTGGCTGACGTGAAGAAAACGCTGGACGACCTCAAACTGGGTGATGGAACTACAGCTCCCGTAGTAGCTACTACACCTTCGCTACGTGGGTTCAAAGTGCCCCGTTCGACGGGACTTCTTCCTGGTCAGCCTACAAAATCCAGTTCGAGGCTGTTATGAAGGCGAGCGGCTGGAATAAAAGTCAGGCCATGACTGCTCTCACACTAGGCCTGCGCGACAGGCCTTAACAGTTCTGGAAGCTCTCGGGGAGGAAGTGACTTATGAGCAACTCCTTGAGGCATTGGAGGCGAGATATGGCGACGCTCACCTGGAACACGTCTTTCGTGCGCAGCTTAAAGATCGCGTGCAGCGCATCAACGAAAACCTGCAGCAGTGGGCTCTAGAGGTGGAGAAGCTGGTGCGGAAAGCATACCGGTCTGTACCTGCGCTCATTGAAGATAAACCTGGTGCAGACATTCATCGACGGCATCCGCGACATAGAAGTCGGAGCTGCTGTGAGGCTCGGGCACCACGACACGCTTAAGGACGCCTAGGCCCAAGCACTGGAGGTGGAAACCGTGCGGCAGGATCATCGTTCCCATCGCGTCCGGGAGGTTGCAGCAGCTACAGTTCGCGACCGCAACAGAGGATACAGCCCTAGGTGCTATGGCTGTGGGGAAAAGGGCCATCTTCGATCCAGCTGCCCTAAGCGAACCCTAGAAAGGGAAGTTGAACGATCTCGAGAGGGTAGTGCAGCTAACGGCACCACCTGGCGGCAGCAGGATCATCGCTCCCCTCACGCTAGGGAGGTTGCAGCAGTTACGGTTCGCGACCACAATAAAGGATACAGCCCTAGGTGCTATGGCTATGGGGAAAGGGGCCATCTTCGATCCAGCTGCCCTAAGCGAACCCTAGAAAGGGAAGGTGAACGATCTCAGAAGGGAAGTGCGGCTAACATCACCGCCCAGCAGCAGCCGGGATACGAGTTTACTATCAGACATCGCAGCGGGAAATCTCATGGCAACGCAGATGCACTGTCAAGAAGACCTAGTCCTGAAGATTGCAAACATTGTACTAGGCAAGAGAGTAAGGAAGTACCTACCACGTAAGTACCACGAACCTCAAGTTCGTAACAATATGTTATTTTTTATATCTTTCGCATACATTGTTGGACATTGGTAAGCATAGCAGTCCCTTCGCGAAATTTTCAATACATACATATTTTAAGTGTCTCTTCTATGACTGATTGAAATATTAATCATAAACTCGTGTTTATGAATACTCGTTATAAGATTATCAACTATACATACAAACTTTTAAAGTTGAATGTGATAAAAAAATAATACGAGAAATACAGAGAAATCCCCCACATACTGGAGAAGTATCTAGGGTTGCCATTTCAGGCATTTTGAGTTGCCATAATGAAATCTTTTTTAAATACCCCAATACTGCCAAATACTGCCAGGTTTTATAAAACCAACCGATCATGCTAAAGGCTAAAATAAGTGGCTAATCCTGCCAAAATGGCAGGAACCTGCCACATATGGTCACACTGTTACTTTGTTCAAACCATAGATCACAAACTAATAAGAGTACTAACGTACCATAGATCTAGTGTAGACTCCACGCTAAATCTATGTTTGAAACTACTACTATGTGCTACATAAAAGTGCTCTGCACCTGTGTTGTTCTCATCATGGAGTTTAGGAACAGGAGAACGATCGCCGTAGAAAATAGTGTCCCAGAAATATGCACACCATAATTGAGCCACTGCGATCGCTAAGATCCCTCAATAAAAGTCATTTTCAGTCTATTTTTCCGATTAGATGCTAAACCACTTGCACATACACGCACAATAAAACATTTCTCTATTTTTTAATGTTTCTTTTTGTCAAAAATTTAAAAATTACGGTACATGAAAATTTTCCTACCAATGCCGTGAAGAAAATTTGTACATCATTCAACTAACTTCATCTACTTGTACTCATAAAAAGCTAACTTCTCAGCCACTACTCACCGATGGCAGCGCCACTATAAATTATACAAATTTTCAAGGACAGGCGAGCTTTGCTTTGGTACGTAGGGATCGTTCTCCTATTCTCTAACCTCTATGGTTCTCATGAACGTATAAAAAACTTTTTTTATACGTCCTTCGTTGTTCTATGATGTCGACGTATTGCTATTACTGCTTTTGTTTATATATTGTGCTTCTGTTATATCGTTTAAATAACGGTTTGAAACGGATGATTTAGGGACAGGCAGTGTAATTATAAACAGGCCAACCATTTTAATAATTAATGCTATTTTATTATGAAAATAGACTTTATTATCTATTGCCATAGACAAAATTTTCGTTTTTACTATAGTAAAAGCATTAGCTTTCGTTTTTACAGTTTTAAAAGATTTTATGACTGTTCCATATATGTATAAACGTGTATGTATAAAAACCATTTATTTATGCTTATAAGCTATCGTTTTATTATCTACATATTATTATAGTCTTCTTTGCGTAAAACTTCTCAATTTTCTATTTGTTGCCTGTGTGTATTATATTTGTTAGTAGGTGAGTGGTATTATTTGTTTAGTTAATGTATATCTCTGCGACAACGATGGATGTTAACGGGGGAGACACTGGGGACGGGGCAACCACCGGATTTATCCGGTGATTCTGGCTCTGCTACATGTAAATTCACGAATCTCTAACCCAACCCCGGAAAAATAGGGCACAAAGATCACCCTTCAGCCTCTTACCAAAATACAACGTCCACCGTGACTTTCAAGTAAAAAAATATATGTAATTAGTGATAAAATTCCCTTTGTTATACATTTAAGTCTTTCAGAAGCTGATTCATCAGCAGGATATATAATTAGATCTTTAAAAATTGTCCATATTCTTACACAAAATAAAGTAACAATATTGAAAAACAGGGCATCTAAATCTTTGGGTGTAACAGAGTTTCTTTTAGTGTAGAGTAGCTTTCAAAACTGCTTCTGATGCTAATAATTTTATTGAATATCAGTTTATTTCGCAATATAATCTTTCTGCTGTTATTTCAAGTTTTAATGTTACTCGTATGGGTGTGATTAGGGGTATCCCAACCGATATTTCAATGAAGAAATTAGTTTGCGAGTCTGAGCTTTCTCCTGGCAAAGGAGATATTATTAAAGCCAGGAAACTTAGCAGAAAGGTCTTAGAAGCAATCTTATATGCGAAATCACATAGCCTGGAAAGGACACTAATTTTCCGAGACTCCGTTAGTTGCCTTCGAAGCATTGGATCCGGCCCTTTTCACTCAAATTAAGATACCCCTTAATTTTAAATATTAGAAAGTTGCCGCTGCGAGATTCAGGGTAAAGAAGCCACCTAATCTGACTCCCTCCCTAAACAATGTATATGACCTCTTACCAAAGTCTAGCTCCAGATATAAATTTTAATTGTTCTAAGAACTGAAATGAACAAGATTCACCAATCTTAAGCTCACAAAACACTTTTTTTCTCACTTTAACCTACTTGTAAACTCCTTAAATCGCTACGCTGTCAAAGTTGTTTAGCAAAGTGTAGAGTTTGCTAAACAAAAAAACCAGCACGGAGAAAGGGACAAACAATCACACCGCTCTAGCATATTTCTATGCAAGACGTATGCGTAAATCTATCTTTTTCGTGTGCGAATACAAAAGAAAGCGTCAATTTGTCTATAGGTTTCTCTTTCTACGTCGCAATATGACCCATCAGCATATTGTGAAGAAAAAATATATAAAATGAAGATTCTGAAAGAAATGATAGGGTCAGTAAGGCTAGAACCCAGAGCTGTAAAGCCACTAAAATAAAAAAATGTTATTTGTCAATGCCAATTGTGAATGTCATATTGACAATAGACATTAGACATGTCAAACCGCTGCGAGTAACGGTCACCGATTTTGAACGTTCAAAATACATTAAATTAAAAAATGAATTCATGAATCATTTTTACTAATTTAAATCTTCTGATGTGGATTCACAAAAAATATTAAAATGGCGACAGAAACTGGGCAAAATAATAACCGAACTCGTAAGTAGCCTCGCATTTGCAAGATTAATTTTCACATAATTTTTTTAAGTTTATTCTTTTATCGATCTTGAAACATACCTATTACCTAATAAAATTTTAGGCTTTCATAAGTTGTCCTTGAAGAAGAACTATACAAAGAGTATTGAAGTTACGAAGAAACTAAATCGTAGTTCTGATGTTATCATCCTCGACGAATCGTTTGATAGGTTACAATCAGACTTCACCAAAAATGTAAGTGACGTTTTATTTAATTTTAATAGAGGCTTTAATAAAGCTCTTATAGACATCAATATGCTAATATTGATGTCCATTAGACCTGTGTCGATCGCGATTGATTAAATTTTTTGGATTCGATCGCAACCGACAAATGAGTGATCGTATCGTAGATCCCTAAAAGATTCGATCATATTTGACCCGATTTTTAAGGTGACAAGAAAAACCAAATTGTACTTTATTGGTATATATTTACATGCATATAATTGATCGAGTCATGTATTAGATCACACATGTCCTCTTCTGTCCAGCAGGTCGCGGGCCTCGCGGTAAGCACAGCGATGTTACAAACAAAATGTCTTTTTGTCTTTTGTCTACATATAAATGTAAACAAAGGAGATGGAATTGAATTATTTCAACCACTTTCTTTTAAAGCACTATTTCTGTGTTGTATTGTTAGTTTTGTTCATCCTACCTACCTTTTGTTGACCTATTGATGAATTTTGTTTGAAAAATTAAGATCCTATCAGTTGTACTGGTGACTTATGACCCGCGGCACGTGCTTGAAAGTGTCTTGTTATATTATTAAGGTTTTACTTGTGTTTTAGTGGTTTTATTTGACATTATTAGTTTTGGAAGACTTAACAAACTATTACTATGGTGTTGGGTTTTATACAATTGCATGACTCTGTGAATGTTGAATTTAACATAGTAACTAAACTGTTGTTACCTAAATAATTTAATTTATTTGTAATTGTGTTTGTTTTTCAATTTTGTTATTGTTTTGCAATTACCTAATAACTTAAAATGTCAGATCTGGCTAAAAAAAGAAGTAAAATATGGAGTCATTTTTCTGTAATAAATAAAGATAAGGCAAAATGTGAATACTGCTAGAAAAGAATTAGCTATTCTGGATATGGCTCTAGTAATTTGACTAGGCACATGAAAAAATTACATGGGGCAGTGTCTATTGAGCAACTGATGAGTGAAAATCTCCAAGTTCAGGTTAGCCTACCGAGATGCACTGAATCAAACGCTTCAGGAACAAATGGCATTCCTTCCATATCAAGTGAGTCAGTATTTTCGCTATGCGACAAAACTCACCAGCAGCTCTAACTCGTCGCCAAACCATGCAATTACAAGTACAGTGAAAAATTAATAATTTTACTGTGTCTGCGAGACCTCCAATATACCAATCAGCAAAACAAAACAGCTTGATGAACAAATTAAAATTTATAGTCAAGGGTTATCAGTCGTTTGCATTTGTTGAAGAGGAAGAATTTCATAATTTTTTAATATTGCCCACATACACATTACCTTCTCGCAAAACAATATCTTCCAGTTTAATACCTAAACTTTATTTAAGGGCAAAAGATAAAGTACTACTACGATACTACGAAAATAAAGCCGAATGCAAGATGTGCAAAAAAGTAGGAATGAAAAATTTCATTTCGTTAACAAATAAAGAGTATATTGACACTAACAAATACTTTCAAGTTTTTCAACCCTGGTATTTCTCCATACTTATACTTAAAGGACTTGGTATTAATTTTTGCAAGTACGTCTCATCTCTAGTACAAAGTATACAAACAGACTGCGACCCAAATGATCGAAACGATTGAATCTTTATAACCCGATCACCATATGAGTGGGTCATTATCGACCTGGGTTACGAGAAATTATCGATTGACACAGGTCTAATGTCCATAAGAACCTGCAAAAACAAGACCTCAGAGAAGAACCGTAGAGACTGCGAAACCTTTTTGTAAACTGTGCTATAATTTTATTTTTAATTTCGAGTTATACTTAGTATAATAATAAAATGTCATTTTTAAATTCAGTTTTAACAAAAAAATATTAGTACTTATTGCTATCAAAGACCATTTATTTTATCAATTTTTCATTTTCTCATAAAATCTATAATAAAAAAACAGTGTTATTTAGATATCAGGTAATAAAAGGACATTTATTTTATCAGTTTTTCAGTATTAAAAAAAAACTAAGTTTTTGGATAAAATATAGATCACTTCTGGTGTTGCTCTTTATCTGTTTGTCAAGATTCATCACAATCAGGTCAGCAATTCAAATTAGATGGACAGACAGATAGACAAACACAAACATTTTAAAAATGGTTATTCATGTCTTAATAATAATAAAGCTTTATTTCTCTACACATTTACAGAGTTATCAAAATAATAAATAAATACATAGAACTATTAGAAAGTTCTTCTTGTTTTATGTAGTCCCTCTTGGGTAAAAGCCTCCTCCAATTCGAACCATTCTTCACGGTTTTTGGAATTTGCATCCATTCTTCTCCTGCTATGTTAATAATAATAATTCATGTAGAAAACTATATTTATACCCCCCATAATAATAATAATTCATGTCTTAATGACATGCAAATATCACTCTCTGCTTAATATAAAAAGCTGAAGCTAAAGTTATTCAATAGTAACAACCGATACTTAAATTTTTTTTATAGTATAGGGTGACAAACAAGCACACAGTCCACCTGATGGTAAGTGGTTGCTGTGGCCCATAGACATCTACATCTATCCTCGATTATGAATCAAAATGCTGATGCCTTTTCACCCGTGAGGACTAAGATCGAATGCCTCGTTTCTAATAAAAAGAGTCTCCGAGTTCTCTACACTCACCATACGAAACACAGCAGCATTAAGCTACTATTTTACGCTGGTATTCTGTGAGAGCGTGGTCTTTCCTCGGTCGAGCCGATCCATTTGTGCTACAACTATACTACTAATAAAATTGCAACATGGCTCTACCAAATATAAAATTTTATTTATATGTACAGATACAATGGTTATAATTTAGGTTACTGTTATTAGTTAGGAGGCCCTAAAAATTTTAAACTATTCAAGTATTTATCATCATTTTAACAGCCTATCTAAAGTCCACTGCTTAAATAAGCCTCTCCTCCATAGATTACCTCATAGGGGAGATATTTGTCACAGCAGCAATACCAGAAGGGTTGGCAACTGCAGTTTTTTATTATTTTAAGTTGTCAGAAAGATGCAGCTGATCATCTGCTGTTTCGTTTCCCTCTGTAGAAGCTTACAACACTCACAAACAATAAATGTAAAACTTGACAATAGATAAGAGTAAAGGTTGCAAACAATAACACAACCCACCTGATGGTCAAATGATACTAAAGACACTTAAATTTATACTCAATTAAGAATGAAATTGCAGACCGGGGTAATATCTTATTACTTGTAAAAATTATCTCCGATTCCCATCATTCACCATACAAAACCTATCAGCATAGTGTCTAAAGCTGATATCCTGCGCAGGTTTCTTTTTCTGTAGTTTCTTTTTAGTGAGTATGTTAGGGCTGAATCTGAATGACAGGGTGAGAAATTGTGTGATAAGGGAAGAGTGTGGTTTGCAAGATGATGTTGTGACCAGGATTAAGAAAGGAATGCTTTGGTGGTTTGGTCATGTGGAAAGAATGAATGAGGAAAGAGTGACAAAGAAAATTTATGTTGCAAAAGTGAACGGCATGTATGCGTAGGTATATGGATGTGGATGAGGCGAGAGAGGTGTGTGGGGATTGTGCCAAATTGAAGTTTGTAGTCTCTGCCTCTGGGTGACAGGCGTGAGTGTTTTGTTATATTATATGTTGTTTCTTTTCCTAAAATTATTATCTAAGTAGAAAAACTTAATTGAATATTTTTCAGGTACAAACACAGAGAATATACTCACCAATTGTGATAAATGACTCGTGTGAACTATCTGAAGGTGAAGGCTTGCGCAAAATAAAACTTTCAGACAATGAACCAAGTAAGGCAGGAAATGTGAGTAATTTTTCTAATAATTTTTTGTGATTATGGTACCAAAATATCCTAATCTTAATATATATACAGGGTGTTAGTGTAAACACCGTTATCCTTGAAACCAGTGGTTTGGTTTCACTTATAGAACGTAAATTCAATGAAAAATAACATTTTTTTTTAAATTTCAATTTTACCTTAATTCCTCAATTTTTGCCTGTCCTAAGCCAGGACGAAAGTATGATGGAAAAGTTACATCACAGGTTATGTGTACGTATTGTGTTTTTATTGGAATGTTGTGTAGGTAGCTAGCGTGGGCGGTGATCTTTACAGTGAGTGACTCGGGCGTATAGGGTATCCATGAATTTATGGACGGTGTCGGACAGAAAGTTTTTAAATTGTATGAAAGAAAATAGCGTTTTTTTTTAAAATTCATTGAATTTAAGTTCTATAAGTGAAACCAAACCACTGGTTTCAAGGATAATGGTGTTTACACTAACAACTTGTATATAATAAACAAAACATTTAAAGTTAATTAGATGTTTCTAATTTCCTTTAAATGCTTTATAATTGTCCCTCTAATCCATGTTGTTTATAGAAAATGTGCATATATGTATTTTCTAATTAATTTATCTTCTATTAAAGCCTTCTGTGTTTCGAAAGTCTACTGCACTGCACTACACTGAATATAGTCTTCTCCCATAGATTGCCCATAGGCCTTAGTTTTAGTTCAGTTTAGTTTACGAAGGACTGTTTTTCGCAACTCGTATTTTGCGTGTGGGCAGGAATAATGTAATTTTTCGAGCCATGAAATCTCCCTGAAGAAGTTCAACAGTCCTTTGATTTTGCAAGCAACTTCGGGAAGCGATCCCGGCGTGCCGAGATGTTTTATGTTTTATAGCTTTGTATGCAGCAACCTCTGGGCATGTCAGCAACACGTGGGCCGCCGTTTCTTCCTCCCTTATACATGCCCTGCACAGGACTTTTTGTAACACATATGATAAATAAATGTTTGTTAAAGGAGCCATGTCCTGTGATAGTGCTTGTTACTATCCTTATCTGTGGCTTGTTCAGTCTCATTAGAACCTTGGTTAAACAACTATTTATTTCAGGCAGGGCCTTCCTAGCTTCTCTATAGTCTACTAGATTTTTCCAAAGCCGAGCATGTAGATTAGTGCATTTTCTACGTACCAGTGAACGATTGTTGCCAAAAGGGATTGGTATTATTGGTCCAGCCCTATAGCCGATCCTCTTCTGGCCAGTTTGTCTGCTGCATCATTGCCTCTGGATCCACTGTGTCCCTTAATCCATTGCAGAGTCACATTGTTGTTCTTACATACCGTATTTAATCATTGATGGCATTCATATATTAGTCCTGAGTTCACCACATTACAACTCAGAGCTTGTAGTACTGCCATACTGTCGGTCAGTGTTCTGATGGATAAGGCCTACCTTCTTAGCATCTATTGCTACGGCCTCTTAGATGATACCCATACATTCCGCCTGAAAGACTGTGTTATGGGTGCCTAGCAGTGTACATATACGAATATTAAGGTCTTCAGAGAAAGTTCCAGATCCTACACCTTCATTTGTTTTAAAACCATAGCCCATAGGCCTTATTTGCTATGGTCGCCACTTCTATCAAATGGGTTGGCAACTGCAGTTTTTTATTTGAATTGTTATTAAAAAGATGCAGCTGTTCATTTCTTATTCCATTTCCCTCTGACGACTATTAATGACACCCACAAAATGATATGGCATGTGCTAGTGGTGGTGTATGTGGTGTGATAGTGGATAAGAGGATGCATCACCTCTTTTCCTCCTGTTGGTGTCATAAGAGGTCACTATGGGAAATGTATGAAAAATTTTATATTGTTATCTCGATTATATCAGACGTAAAACATACAGACATAGGGCACACAGGGATAGGGAGCAGTGTCGAAAGTTCGAGACATCTGGTACTCCAATTGCCAAACCACTAAGCCAAGCGCGTAAATGCCAATCCTTTCTTGAAAGAGGCCAAGGTATGAATGAAGAATTAAGACTTACTTACTGTTTTAATAACCAGCCAGATTTCATATCGTCCCATGGGTGTCATATGACATAGGAAGGGACATAGGAAAACTGAAACAGGAGATGGCCATTTTGTGGCATTTATACAATTGGTATTGCTGACTCAAAATAATAAAAAACTTCGATTGCAAAAAAAACCAAGTATGGCAACTATGTCAAAATCCCCCCCCCCCTTCCCCCCAATACGCAATCTATAGTGGAGGTCTATGTTCAGCAGTGTACTTTTATAGGCTGTAAATGATGTATGGATGGATAAGGGATTTAATATTTTTATCTCGTAGGCTATTATTATTCATATTTTCCGAGATATAAATATTTTGGGTCAGGCTGTTTTCATTGGTCATTAGCTTATTGTATTTTTTTTGTATTATAGGTCTTATTTAACTCTTCAAAGGAGGAAGAAGTATTTAAGACCACATTAAATGAATCAAGGCCAAGCATAGGTGGTTGGTCACCAGCTCAAAATATCATATGTGCTACTCCAAGGCATGAGCCACTACCGTCTACGCCAAAGGACATGGCTAATGAATCTTTAGAACAATGTTCTATAAAAAAGATTCAACAGTCGCAACAAAAATTACTCAGTGATTTATATGGGGAAACATGGAAGACAATTCCATCACTATTTAAAACCATATCACATAAGCATGACAATTTGGACGGTGTTTCAAAGAAACTTTACTTCAATGATGACGATGATAGCGACAAAGAAAACATAAAATATGATTTACAAAGAAATAAACTGCTGTATTTAACAGGTTCGGATGCTAAACACAAAACTAACAACAGACTCAGCAACACAGAGAAGAAAAGTAAAAAGAAATTGTACACTGAAAAAGTTCCTAATACACCAGAGGTGTCCAAACTAAAGCCAAAGATTATTGGAGATGTTAAAAGCACAACAAAGAAACGGAAAGGTTTGACTGTAACTGAATTGGTGGCAGTTATGAAGAATGATGTTGAAGTTTTGACTAAAAAGGTTGAAAATGTTACCATCACACCAGTTAATGAATTGAATATTAAGAGGCTTAGTTTCCTTGGGTCCTTAGCTGGTGAGTATTTTATAAATAAATAAAAATTATGCACATCCTTTTAAGTATTAATTTACCACATTTTTGGTGGTGAAGATAAATATTATAATTAAACAGGGATTGTTCGATTAGTTGAAAATTAAAAATGCAGGTTGCATTGTGGCACCACGGTGAGCTTTTCCTTGTTCCACAATTCTTTCAGAATTGATAAGCTTCTAGAATGTTTTTATGTGGTAGAGCCAAGCTGTGCAGCTATATTATGGTTGCAACATAAATGGTTCACCTTGACCGAGTTAGAACCACACTTTCACAGAATACCAGTGTAAAATAGCGGCTTAATGCAGCTGTGTTGCATATGGTGTAAAGAATTAGATACCCTTTTTACTAGGAATGAAGCATTTTACCGTTTATCAGTGGTTAGCTTATTTGTTTAAGTGCAACACCCCTTAAAGTTACAGGTAGTATATATAACCTTAAACACCATGAGCTCACTCTTCGCAACATTATATTTTAGACCGTGGGCTTCTGAATAAACCTCACATATGAACAAAAGCCGTCTGAGTGCACTGACTGACGGGCTCAGAAGCACCATGTCGTCTGCGTAACTGATGTTGTTCATGCAGAGTCCATCAATAGAGCAGCCGACACATGCACTCCCGAGTCTATAAATCAATTCATTTATATATAAATTAAAAAGCGTAGGTGTGGTTAACCCCCCGTGTCTCACACCGCATTCTAATCTCTACTCGTCCGACAGTGCACTAGATCACCTGACCTGATTATTTTATAATCGTACCAATAGCTAAAAATACTAATGTACGAGATGGGTAGACCAGCCTTTCGCTATTTATCCCACAAATTGTCATACCTGACAAGCTCGAAGGCCTTTGAAAGATCCAGGAAGGCCGCATACACTGACGTATTCCTTACAATGTAATACCCCACAATGTGCTTCAGTGATATTATTGCGCACTCAGTGGATAGATTTGGTTTTAAAACCAAATTGTGCATTGTTTAAAACTGTCTCTCAAGCGCACTGACAAGTATCTCAGCCGCAGTTGTCGCTAATGAAATGGGCCGATTGTTGCACATATCTGAAACATCTCCGGTTTTGTTTTTCAACATCGGAACCAGACCGTTCTCATCAGCTCTTCCGGCAAATAAGAGTGCCTTATACATAGGGTGTACAAGAGTGCCAGCAGTCTAGGTAAGTGCAGGCCAGCATGCTGAAAGTGTTCGATGCTAAGGCAATCGTCAGTGGCGAAGCTTCAATAAAAGCCGAAAAGCCGGGCTTGCCTTATTAAAACTGAATCAATCAATAATATCAACTAATAAAATAACTCATAAACTGTTTCAAATTATTTCAATTTTTCCACGCACTTCACTGTTCGACACATGTCGACCGATGACCTCGTATTGCCTTAGCGATACGTTTATACAAAGGTACTCTGTGGCGATACCGCTGCTGTCATAAAAAGTGAGTTTTAATAGAGCGATTAGTTGTCTCCCTCGCTCGCATGGGCTTTTCACGGGGCTTTCGAGAAGACGATCGCTCTCTTTCTAACCTATGGCAAAATATTGTATAATGAATTATTACTTCGTAATGTTTATATAGCAATTACTATTGAGCCACAAGCCTGGCTTTGCCATGAAGTTGTTTAGGAGTGCGTTAGCGACTAGCGATGTGGTTGCGGGCCCCTCGTATGCTAGTTCACTTCACATTTCAATGTTTGTTTGTTTTTGTTGTGTTTGTTAAAATTTTATGCTTTTTCGAAGATTTTCAAAGAAAATGGGAGGATAATAGTGTTCATTGTGATGAATATAAGTGTGTTGAAGTGCTAATCGGCGAGGAAAAGGTAAAAATCTTTAAAAATGAAATTTAATATTCAATAAACATTTCTTCATACTTTAAATATAGGTACAGGACTCTTTAGTATTAAAGTTTAATTAAGTTAGGCGTATTTAAAGGTTTAATAACTCAATATTATATTACCATACAAATTAAAGTTATCAATTTGAACAGCAGCATAAAATATGAGACCTAGGTTTAATTTTAGAGGAAATAAGTGCGTGAAGCCCAAATTTTAATTAAATAAATCAAAAGAATACAGAAGAATGTATTGAGGTTTTTAAAGAATAGTACTCCCTTTAGTTATTTCCAGTTAAGTTTCTCTGTCTACTTTCCAGTATATAAAATTTCCATCTACTTAATTCTATAGGTAAAGTCATTTTATCGAACGAAAATTGGTTGATTCTCACGATGGTACCTAAAGATTGCGCTAGATGGCACAAATACGCTATCGACTAATTTATAGTGATATATGAGTTTAAAAATATCATTTTGTACGGTTTATTATGAATTGAAAATGAATAATTATAATTATAATAGTCATTATTTTATGGTAAAAAATTAGCAAAGCTTATCTTCTCAAAACAAAATATAATTTCGAGGTTTCACATCTGCCAGGCGTCCCTTTTTTAACTTTGTACATTGTTTGTACTTTGTTCATGCTTTTCTTTTGTTCATGTATTGTATTGTTTGTAAATATCTCAAGCAAACCCAAACGGCTCTTTTCAAAACCACCGAAGGTGTGCAATTGCATATTATGTCATACAATCTATCTAGCGGTAGTATGCTTTCTGTGTGCTTTGTTAAACACGTCCTTGTCAGCACTGAATATGAAACTAAAGAGTGAAGACAGCTCAATATTGGTGTATTTTTATTAAACTGCTAAAAACAACAAAACCATATCTTGGGCTTGCCCTAGTTTGGAGCCCTAGCTTCGCCACTGGCAATCGTGACCAGGTAACTTTAATACAGCTTTATACAAAATTTTTGCTTTTAGAGCCACCTTTTTTGCGAGCAGTAGAAGTACTTAATTACTACCTTCACAAATAAACAAAATTAAGGTCTTATTACCAAAGTAGACATACAAATATCTGTCTGTAATTATTTTATTTTATGAGCATGAGCAAATCTTTCTATATTTTTCTCCACAACATAAAAGTGACCAACAAGTAAATAAATTTGAAGTTAATGCCCACTGATTGTCCATAAATGTCTCTAACCAACTACAGACATAGGCTAAAGATGCATTGTCACTTATCACCTCTATATGCTATGATGTCTTATAGCCTATTAATTGCTGCTCGAAAACCTCTCTTCCCTATTTTGTTTTAGACTATATGACAATATTTTGTGGCTCTTGTGAATGTGTGAAAACATTTTACATTTATCATCAAATAATTTCTAGCAATTGGTGTTCCTACATTAATTACTATTTTATACTATTTGTGACAAACATCCAACAGTCTGGTCAGTGATAACTTGTTACAATAACCAATGAACACATACGACAAACTTCAGCTAAACAATGCTAAATATGAATAGAAACTTGTTTATTCAATGGGTATGTTCCGAAATACAACCTGATACACTGGCCAATGTAAATGACGTCATAAATCAAAGTCGTTCTGGTGATCCGTTATATCGAATATGGTGGAATATGCCGTCAGTTAATGACGTCATTTGCATTCGCCAGTATACTGGAAACATTTCGGAACATACCTTTTAATAAGTTCTATATATTGATTATAAATAGTACTTATTGAAAGTTAATCTTAGCGTAAATCTAGCGATCTTCGCACGGGTGATTTCTGGATTTCGACAACAGCGCTACCTACCGTATCCACACCATCTAACCATCTAGGGTCCTATTCAAACACACACAAAAAATTTCATCGAAATCGGTTGGATGGTTTTAAAGTCTATAACAGACATAGGTAGAAACTTTTTTCGTGTTTTACATAGTAAGATTTTGAGAGAACCAACAAGAAACACAGCGTGCCTTTTTTTGAAAATTAACATTTTATAATCATATATTTTACACAATTAACAACACAAAACAAATTAGAAATGGCTTGGTTATTACCATTCAACAATTCCTTAATATTATCATAACCGTTTTTATACAAACATTGTTTAATAAAATTTTTGAACTTTGCCAAAGTCAAATATTTACATAAAAGGTGTGTTATCACCCATGAGAGCTAAGTTGGGATGCCTTACAGTCTGTAACTACTTGCCGATGGCAGAAGAAAGAAAGTTCTCTCTTCTTCCTTACCTTGATTTGATTTTACTAGTTAGTGACTTATAAAATTAATATGAACTTTTCAGATAATGTGCCATCATGGCGATGTCATCCTGAAGCAATCCAATACAGGGACAACTTTAAAACTCTACGAGAACAACTAACTCGCCGTTTGTACGTGAAATTCAATCAAGTTGTGTTTAATAATGCATTAGACGAAGATATGCCGATCATTTGGGATACTAAATTAAGAAGCACTGCTGGGTAAGACATGTATACATTTAATTATCATCCTATCTATTCAAATCCATCAACACCTTCACCTATAACCACACATAAACACACTATAACCTATCTTTCGCTTTTGATTTGTGGTGTTAGACTGTGTTGTGGAGGTGTATAAATATTCATTAATTCAGAACTTAAAATTGCCAATCCGCCTCCCAAACATGGCAATAATGGCAATCATCTCTACTATAAAGCAATTTATGTGGAAGGCCTATTTGCAATGGACTTTTGATAGGCTGTGTGGGTCTATGACATTGTACAGATTTTATCATGTTTCATTTTAACTTTTTTCCCGTCATTTATTAATTTAATGGTAAACTAATGATTTCTTAAGTTTACGCGAACACTACACATTGAATAAAACTATATTTACGGATTTTATTGCGTTTAATTAACTACTTTAACTTATTTTTAAATTCCCGACGTTTCGGATGCTTTACAACACCCATGGTCACGGGGGGGGGGACTCCCCCTGGGTATTAATGATCCGGTTCATGATCTATTTATATTTTCGTCTAGTTTATTTTCTTTTTCTTCTCTTATTTTTATGGCGTTTTTGATCATACGCCAATGTCAGCGTGAAAGTGTTTATAGAGTAGAATAGCTCAGCAGATACAAATACTATGCCCATGTACAAAAGGCGATTGCTATAAAAAATTATTAGTATGTTAGTTTTGACAAACATTAAAGTTTTATGCCATTAGTGTTAATGAAATCATACAGAATATCAAAGAATTTTAAATATACAACATGTAACATAATTAACGCATTTTGAGAAAGTAGTTTGTTCAGAATCGTTTACTGAATCGATTCCTATCATTTTTAATGTAGGTAATTTTTTATCCCAAAAATAATTAAAACTACGTAAATTACAGTCACACTAAATCTGTACAGTCAAAACAAACTGAAATGGACCGTAACTTAAGGCAATAAGACTTAATAGTGCAGTTTTATTTGTATTATTACTAATTCTGTCATTCAATAAATATAAAGAAAAATGAACTTTATTTCAAGCACGTCTTTGCGTTCGTAGATTTGTACTGTGACCACAACATTCTTCCGGAATTAGTATAACTAATTTGATAAATAATCAGTGCATAAAAATGTTTAACTAAAAATTCAGGGTATGTATTATGATTATAACATAATATACTAATTGGGGTGTCTGAGGGTGTGCGTTAATTACGTTACATATTGTATATATCGGCGCAACAAAGTATAAACGACCTATTGGCGCATTACTTAAATAATTAATGAGTTAAAAATTATACATTTGTTCAAACTTAATGGCGGCTCGGAACATCGTACGTTCCGATGCGCAGAACATAATTTTTGGGTATCAGCGGGATGTAGAGGGACGTGGTGGCTGGGCACATACCCGCGCTCCCTCTGTCTCATACCACGGTAATATTCTCATACGCACTCACGCGACGCGTTTGCTTTTAGTGTTTGAGTTACGTACACTCCTGCTTACGTACAGTTGAGCCCATAATTTGTTACTGTTTGTTAATTGTTTTGTTACGTTTTTTTTTTGTTTGTTTTTGTTCCGTTAAGTTTTTATTGTTATTGACTGTTTTGTTTTCATCTGTGTGTTACACACATTAAGTTTTAGACTGATGTTGGTTGTGAGAAAGTACTTTTATTATTTTGTTTAAATATGCCTCGCGGACGATGCAACGTTTTACGCAGGCAAGCCAGAAAAATGGTGTATAATGTCGTGCAATTTATGAAAAAGGAGAGTGAAGACGGGGTCCAAATTCCTCTGAAGCTCGTTCAAACGAGCCGCAGCAGCTACAGGCGTCTCACTAAGGACTGTACAAAGAATAGCTGCAACAGCAAATGAGTCGGAGATGGTAGCCGTCTTTCGTACTCCTGGCAAAAAAAGAAGGGAGTCAAGAGAGTGACGAATATTGACAACTTCAACCAAGATGTCATCAAAAGGTGCGCGTGCACAACTTTCACGTGACTGAAAAAGAGTTGCCAACACTTAAACAATTACAAAGAAAATTAAAAGACGACATAAATTTCAACGGTTCTGTAACCAGCTTAGGCCGAATATTGAAACAATTAGGGTTTCAATGGAAGAACACCCAAAATGAGAGAAAAGTATTAATAGAGCAGTCTAATATTCGTTTACAGCGCATTGAATATCTGCATAGTATTACAAAATATCGCTCGGAAGGCAGACCCATTATATATACCGACGAGTCTTATGTCGATTCTTCCCACAGCATGTCAAAGGCTTGGGGAGTTGGGTCACAAATGGGAGTTAAAAAGAAAATTTCGAAGGGTCAAAGAGTTGTAATAGTGCACGCGGGTTCTGAAGCCGGTTTTGTACCCAACATACTTTTAATGTTTAAGGCGGGTACAAAAACCGGCGACTATCATGATAACATGAATTATGAAAAATGGATCAAGAATCAACTCATTCCAAATTTGCCAGCAAATTCAGTCGTTGTTGTAGATAATGCTTCTTATCACAAAAAACAAACAAGAAGATCCTGCACCTACCTGAAACTCAAGAAAAGCAGACATGCAATCATGGCTTCGTGAAAAAAATATTGAATTTGAGGAAACAATGCTGAAGCCACAACTATACAAGTTAATTGCGAAGAATAAAGAACGCTTCAAAAAAATTTAACATCGATAAAATATTGAAAGAGAATAACCACTTAGTTTTACGCCTCCCCCCTTACAACACCGATTTAAACCCCATCGAGATGGCATGGGCAGCAATAAAACAATACATCGCAAAAAAAAACGTTAACTGGAACGTAAATTCAGTCATGGAATTGGTCCAGCAAAAAGTTAACGAAATGGGGGAAAATGAATGGGGGGCATTGTGCCGAAAAGTGAGATCAAGATAGAGGAAGAGTACAAAAAAAGTGACGACGAAAGAAAGTCGTTGATAGATTGACGGACGAATTTATAATCCATGTCAGCGACGATGAATCAGATACCGAGTCTGAGGAGGAATCAGATTCCAGCGAAGACGAAGGAAGTGATGTTTCCATGGAAGCTCCTTCCACAAGCAAAGACGTTTTTATGGAAGGGATACAGCCCTTAAATTAAAATGAAAATAAAAACTTTATATATTGTTTATAAAATCTTTTTTATTTTAACCGACTTCAAAAAAGGATGAGGTTCTTAATTCATCTGTATTTTTCTTCCTTGAACCCTCCTCATACTTGCTAACTGACATTTATGTACTATATGTACAGAACTTAAAACACAAAACTTTCAGTTATTAAAATAATTAAATTGAGCCTAAATTTTTGTCAACTTGACTGTACCTGCGCGCACCTGCACTCGCAGCTAACTTCCGAGCCGCCATTAAGTTTGAATCGAATAATAATAGACGTTATTTCAACTACTGAAATAACGTTATAACCTGATTTTCATAACATATATCTTTATTTTTATAATTAGTTGATTATTTTGATTAAAACTACTTTTACGGATTTTATCGCGTTTTATTTATATTAATTTTAATACCCGACGTTTCGGGTGCTTTCCAGCACCCATGGTCACGGGGGACTGAGGTGACTGACGTCCCGATGTCAAAGTTAACCCGGAGTACCTTCAGATTTTTAATTATTGTCTTTGGTCCGATCTACGCAGAATGAACTAACTGTATTTTGAAGTCTTGCAGTGGTATGCTTGGGTTTAGTTTTAATTTTATTAATTATAGAATCCCAAGCAGGTGTTAGTACCCAGCCTCCTTCTCTATTGAAATTAGGATGTTTTTTAATTTCAATAGCCTCACGTATCATCCTTGGCAGGAATCGATGTTCTTTCGCGAGGATTTGTGGTCTATCAAATCTGATGTAATGGTTGGAGCCATCTAGAATATGATCGCAAACTGCAGACTTCCCGGAACGTTGATGCTTCACGTCAGCTATGTGTTCTTTTACGCGGGTTCTAATTGATCTCTTTGTTTGCCCTATATATGAGAGACAACAATCACAATCAAGCTTGTACACTCCTGCATCTTGTAGAGGAATATGACACTTGACGGATGGTAAGAACTGACTAATCTTCTTCGGCTGCTTGTAGAATGTTCTAATAGAAGCTCGCTTCAAGATGTAGCCAATCTTGTCTGTGACACCTCTGACATTCTCTCTTCTCATCTTTTCTGCATCTCACTTATAACTGCATCTCAATTATAACTAGGAAACTAGATGAAAATAACATGCCACCAGAATATGCAGTACTACTAAGACATTGCCTTACATCTGGCTATCTATTGTGGAAGGAAGAGTTTTACAAGCAAGTAGATGGTGTTGCGATGGGCTCACCTGTATCTCCCATTGTCGCCGATATATTCATGGAAGACTTTGAGAAGAAAGCCCTCCTTACTGCACCTGTTACCCCAAGGTTCTACAAGCGGTACGTAGACGATACTTTCACAATTTTACCATCAGACAAAGTAACTGCATATTTAGAACATCTTAATTCCATAAACCCTAAAATTCAATTTACTATGGAGTTAGAGGCAAATAATTCCTTAGCTTTCCTAGATGTGTCAGTCATCCGAAATCTTAACAACACCATAGGTCATACTGTGTATAGAAAAAAAGACCCATACAAACCGATACTTAAATGGTGAATCTCACCATCATCCTTCACAGTTAGCTACCGTGGGCAAATCTTTGTTTCAGAGAGCACGAGGGATCTGTGACAGCAAACACCCGGCCGCCGAGCTTCAGCACGTCAAGCAGGTTCTGCACGACAACAAGCTTCGGGTCCCGCGCCTCCGTCACAGTAACCGAGTGAACGCGGCCACAGTCGAGCGTGTGCCTGCTATACTACCATATGTCAGAGGTGTCACAGACAAGATTGGCTATATCTTGAAGCGAGCTTCTATTAGAACATTCTACAAGCCGCCGAAGAAGATTAGTCAGTTCTTACCATCCGTCAAGTGTCATATTCCTCTACAAGATGCAGGAGTGTACAAGCTTGATTGTGATTGTGGTCTCTCATATATAGGGCAAACAAAGAGATCAATTAGAACCCGCGTAAAAGAACACATAGCTGACGTGAAGCATCAACGTTCCGGGAAGTCTGCAGTTTACGATCATATTCTAGATGGCCCCAACCATTACATCAGATTTGATAGACCACAAATCCTCGCGAAAGAACATCGATTCCTGCCAAGGATGATACGTGAGGCTATTGAAATTAAAAAACATCCTAATTTCAATAGAGAAGGAGGCTGGGTACTACCACCTGCTTGGGATCCTATAATTAATAAAATTAAAACTAAACCCAAGCATACCACTGCAAGACTTCAAAATACAGTTAGTTCATTCTGCGTAGATCGGACCAAAGACAATAATTAAAAAGCTGAAGGTACTCCGGGTTAACTTTGACATCGGGACGTCAGTTACCTCAGTCCCCCGTGACCATGGGTGTTGGAAAGCACCCGAAACGTCGGGTATTAAAATTAATATAAATAAAACGCGATAAAATCCGTAAAAGTAGTTTTAATCAATGTATAGTGTTCGCGTAAATATAAGAAATCATTAGTTGATTATTGTTACTAAATAAATAATTTAAAATGCTTTAATTCAAAATATAATTAAATGCGGGTGGTCGCTATAACAATTTGAAGGTAATTATTCTCAAAGTGCAGGAAGTGGGGATGGCTTGCGCACACTTGCATTCGGTTTAAAAGGCGCGCGACGGCTGGGGCAGCATTTATTCTTGCTCGAGCTGTCGTGCTGTTCGGACTGTAAGTTGAATTTGTGAACTATAAATTGTGAACAATAATAATAATAATAATTATTATTATTATTAGTGATTAGTAGAATCAGTGAAGAGTAAATAAGTAATTTTTATTATTAAAGAAAGCAATAATGAGTGAAACTAGAAATCTCAATAATGACGTCATAGTTTTTAAAAATATTTTTGGTGCTAATATTTCGTCATATATAATATACTATAGGCTATTAAATTAATCTCGGTACAATTTATAGTTGATTACCTGTGATCCATGATTGTAAATGTAAATTAATTCTATTTAAGAGTGCATATTCAAATATGTCCAAGTCGAAATCTACGCGATCGCTTACTGGTTCGATCCAAAACTATGTATTACAAAATCTGATATTTGCGTACCGCCGCGATGCCTATATCGCTTCGCATCGGTCGTTCGCTAGATTCGTTCCGTAACTATATATTATACAAAATCTGATATACCGCCGCAATACCTATATCGCTCCGCATCGGTCGGTGGCTAGATTCGCCGTGTGCGACAGTGCGCGAGTATATGGGTATTAGATTAGACATGTCGGAGAATTAAAATCTTATATTTGTACACTACAGTAAATGATAAATACACAATTTCAATAAATCTTTATTAACTTCCCTAGTATTCATTTTTCCAACTTTTTAAATATATCTCTTAAAATATTTTGATAAAAATTTAATATAAATAATATTAAACTGACGTGCTTTTTAAATTACTATAAAACAATATCTGAGCAAGTCAAAAGCGTTTTCAAGCCAGGGATTTCGTTATTGCGGTCATTTTGTTGTTTATTTACAAAATTAAACACAAGCGTACAGTTTGCCCTATTCGTTTATTGGTTCGTTTGTGGATCCGTTTATTTGTTCGTTCGTTAGTTATTCTGATTGGCCGACTAACTCAATGTTTTTATTCAGATTAGTGTCTTTCTAAGTCTTCGCGTAATTTATAAATTAATCATCATCACTTAGAATAGCAAAAGTACTGATTCCACGCGAACGAAGTCGCGGGCACAGCTAGTTAATAAATACTTACGGATTTATAACTATTAAAACCAACACCATCACGGAGAATAAACAAAAAAAAGTAAATCAACAGTTCTCAGAAACACGAAATAGCCAAAAACCGACCGACACTTGCACACCTCACAGAGAGTAATCCTAGTTTATTTTAACCATTAAACAGCAATTCCAGTTCCATCACTTATCGATTAATTTGTAGACTGCAACAAAATGAAAATATCTGACAATGCAGTTTGTGCATCTGTTTTCGACTTTTGTTGTGATAACCGATACACAAGCAGTTAAAGAGTGACAAAAATTGTCACTCTCAACTCCGTGTACTTGAAAAAAAAGAAACGTTGTTGCTACTCTGGAACAATATAAATCAGTTATATTGATAACTAAAAATATCATCAAAAACTTTATTTCACAGCATAGATTTTCCAATATTGTTTCACGAATGTGTTACGAGCGTAAAACGAAAGCTTATTGCGCTGTTGTATTTTCTACTTTCTTTGTGGAGATAGATAATACTTTATTGTACCTCAAAAAATATAAAAATATGAACAAAAAGGAGCAAAAAAATGTGGTAAGGTCACCTGGGGTAAGTGTGACATAAATTAATTAAAACTATAATCGACATTTAAATACTTTAAATATTTAATATAAAGAATTCAGTTTCGTAACATCAATTATTAAATGGTTGTATGTTTGATCAAGCATTTTAGTATCTACAAGTAGCACTTTATAATTTAAGGTAATTAAAACTAATTGAGGTGGGAGACTGTTACACTTACCCATCAATGGGGCAAGTGTGACAGTGCTCTTCTTTTTGTAGTTACTTTATTATTATCTGTGGTTTTCAACAAAATTGATGAGATGATACTAACGTCGATATATTTTATGATCTATGGAAAAGATTTGAACGTCCATTTTTGTGTAATAATGAATTTGCCCCATTTCAACATGGGGCAAGTACGACTGTTTTAAACCGATATAGTGATGAGCCTTTAAACAGATTTACTACACTAGCTCTGGATGCTTTGTCAGTATAATAAAAGCAATGCAAAGGGCAAAATAAAATTTAATTCAGAACGTTAACAATTTATAATAATATAAACGTGACACTGTCGCACTTACCCCGATGTTAGGTATTAGTTGAGGTAAGTATAACTTTATCCGTAAGAATAGTGAATTTCAGGTCGCAGAAACATATTACTCTATAAGTACCAATATTATTCTTTATCACTTACCTTGTATCTGGTTTAAAATAACTTAATGACATATCGAAACACTTAATAACTTCAACTCTTAAAATTGCGCTGTCTGTCGCTAGTTGATAAGTTTTTAAAAATACAGTCTGTTTATAAAATAGTTCAAGCTATGTACTTAACTGTCAGTTTAGTCAATAGCGTAAAATTTTCTGTGTTGTTTTATACATGGAATTAAACCAAAAACGTGTTTAGGCCGCATAATTTGCATTTGTTACACTTGCCCCACTGTCACTTTGGGAACCTACTACAATAGGCGGTCTTATCGCTAAAAGCGATGTGTTACCGTATGTATTCATGTAGTTCATGATTCAACTAGTTTGACTAAATTAGTGAACTGTAATATAGGGGCATTCAAGTATTACGAAAGCCTTCTATAATTTTATACCCCCTACCCCCACCCCCCGTATAAGCATACATAACAAAATTTCGAACACCCCGTCCCACAACAGTGTTTTAATAAAATTATTGTATGATTACCATTTATTGTCCACGGGCTCTGTATCCATGTTTCTACATCATTAACAATTGGTAGCTCATTTTCGCAATAGTAAAAATAGTATTACTTTTTATTGAATATATTTTTAAATATTTTTTATTGTTTTATAAAAATGCAAAATTTAAATATATCCTAGTGGTGCAAAGTCCTTACTATTGTAATAAGACATTAAGTTGGCAAAAGTACCTGTTTGGCAATATTTATCACTATCTTCGTGATTTAATTCTCATACAATTTTCTGGAGGTCGACTTATGCTTGCGACTACTTGATAACTGACGCAGTACGCGGCGCAACTGGTTTTATATAACTGGAATGATCCGCGCTCTCGTACTTTTGACAAAAGGGAACGCTCCTCAATACCGCCTCCCGTTAGTTTAATACTTTTAAGTTACCAGTATTCATCTTACCGTCTACTTTTCCAGAACAACTACAAACAGGCAGGTGAAGAACGCTAAAGGTGACCGCATACGCACTTCCAGTATAAAGCTATCCACAAAAGTTGTGGACGCGCCGCAGCGGCTTCGCGACACTTTGATCCACGAACTTTGCCACGCTGCCACGTGGTTGATCGATGGCGAACTACGCGCTGGACATGGACCGCTGTGGAAGAAGTGGTAAGTCACTACTATTCGAAGTACGACGGTAAGAGCTCAGAGCATATGATTGGTGCAGTATTCGAATTATCGCAGGAATCGTTTATTATTTCAACACACAATCGTGGGTCCACTTCTTCTTTAATGTCCTCTATTAATCTATCTGGACGTTTTAAATAATGCACCAAAGACTGGTGATGAGGTTTTATATAGAAGAGGGAGCAAACGAGCATGCGGCTCACCTGATGGTAAGTGACTACCGCCGCCCACGAACAACCGTAACACCAAGGGAATTGCAGGTGCGTTGCCGACCTTTTAGAAAAGAATTAGCTCTTTTCTTGAAGGACGCTACGACTTACTAGTGCGGGGAATCAGGCCCACGTGTGCTTGCGTACGTACGTGCGTGAGTGCGTGCGTGTGTGCGTGAGTACGTATGTGCGTAGAGCACAATGTGAACGATGATTGCTAATACGGTACTCTAATAAAACGTGATTTTCTGCCTAGACTGTGCATTCAATTGAGCTGATGATGATGATGATCCGGTTCGCCGTTACGGCTCAGATACTTGAACCGTGAGTTAAGCTACAGTTTACGTAGGTATACTTATTTAGTTACCTCTATGTACTGTCTAATATGATGAGTAATGATAAAAAAAACTACCGAATCGGGATATTTTAGGTTTATTGTTTTTTTAATAGAAAAATTTAAATTACGAGAAAATGATCGGCTACCATCAGTGACATTTTCCGGACTGCTACGATTCGGTTTGCACCTGCAATTTCCCTGGTGTTGCAGTTGTTCATACACAGCGATAGTCATTTAAAATCAGTGAAGTGATATATAGGGTGAGTCCCCTGTGCAGGGCATGCATGGGAGAGGAAGAAACGGCGACTTACGTGTTGCTGACATGTCCAGAAGTCACTTCATACAGGGCTAAACATCTCGGGACGCCGGGATCGCTCTCCGAAGTTGCTTGCAACCTCAAAGGACTATTGAACTTCTTCGGGAAGGTATCATGGCTCGAATAACTACATTATTCCTGCCCACATGCAAAATACGCGCTTAGACGTGGAGTTGCGGAAAACAGCCCGTCATAAACTAAACTAAACTAAACATCAGTGAACCGCATTCTACTATAAAAAAAGAAAAATCAACCAAAACAGTGGGTTTTGGGTTTAGTGTTTTTAGATGGACTTTTCGTAATCACTTCGTCACAGACCAGCTCCTATTTCGTATTATTTATTACTAAGGAAAAAAAGTTAAGAGGAATTGGTTTCATTAGCGATATTTCCAGACCGCTATGTTTTAGAGACCTTCAAGAAACAGAAACTTTTTTATTCAATATAGATTATAAATAATATTTATTAAAAGTCACTCTTTTGTTTAATTTACCACTGGTTCGTAAAATACTTCTGTCCTGGGAAGAACTATTAAGAAACCCAGCGGGACTTTTATTTTGAAAAAAAAGAATAGTTTACAAGCATTATTTGTTCGATTCGTCTTCACGCTTCGTCCAAGTCAACAGTGTTTTTAGCGTCTCCGTTAAATCTTCTTGAAACCCTAGCAGTTTAAAGATAACAGTTTGAACTCTCCGTTAGTGACGATTTAAATCTAAATTAAGTGAGTGATTGGTGAATAATAACAAGAAATAGTGCAAAGTTTCAAATATTCTTCGCAACGGCTGAGACGACTGATTCAAGGACGCCTGGTCGGTCGGTCACTGACCTCACTAGTTACATAATGAAAAAGCCGCATACTTTTGCCACAGCATTAATAAGAAAATTAATAATTCAAAATCGCTTTGGAAAAATCTGAAAAGGACAGTATTACCTCCAAAGCAGACCGTAGAATTTCGTTCACACTTTAATAACGCAAATGAAATTAATAATTACTTTTTGGACGTGCCAGGAGAACCACAAGCTTCACTGTCTTATCTAACCTACTTTAAATTTCACAGGTTCGGCGATGCAACATTCAATATATCATCAGTCAGCCAGAACGATATTTTACGCGTAATTCTCAGTTTGAAATCAAATGCAATAAGAATTGACAATTTATCATTAAAAATGATAATCATGACATTACCTAACTCTTTAGGGATCATACACACAATCACTAATAAGTCAATCTTAGCCTGCGTTCGCTGACCTTTGGAAAATAGCTATTGTTTGACCGCTCCCTAAGAACAATAACTCCTTGAGCTTAAAAGATATACGCCCTATTAGCATTTTACCATGCCTATCATAAGTATTAGAAAAGATTGTCTGCCAGCAGGTTACGGAATATCTTGAGAAAAAGAACATTCTTCCTCAATTGCAGTCTGGGTTTCATAAGAGACGTAGTACTACTACAGCTCTGATTGATGTAGTGGATAATATCCTGTCAGCCCGGACGAGGGCATGTGCACCCTACTGGGGTTATTAGATTACTCGCGTGCCTTCGATGTCATAAATATGTTTTATGGTTTCGGATGTAGCATGCTGTCCTGGTTTAATAGTTATTTATTGAATCGAAAGCAATTGGTCAGCTTGTGTCGTGGGAAAGAAGCCTCTGTGGATTCTAACCTAGCACCTGTGAACAGAGGAGTGCCACAGGGTTCAATTCTAGGCCCTATTCTTTTTAACTTGTATTGTGCGGACTTACCAAAAAATATTGTAAAATGTCAGTATCATATGTATGCAGACGACATACTCGTTCTTTACACACAACTTTACATTTCGTTCAAACCCAGTCAATGGGAAACAGCAGTTAAGGGTCTAAATGACGATTTAAAACGTGTCACTGTGTGGTCTGAGCATAACTGTTTACTATTAAACCCTGATAAAACTAATTATATGATATTTGGAACAAAGAATCAATTAAATAAATTACCTTACGATCTAGGCATTTTACTGATGGGAAAGAAAGTAAAAAGGGTTTACCTTAAACATAGCACGGAATTTAGGTTTAAAGAATGATGAGGGCTTACGGTTTGAGGAACATGTTGCCGAAGCTGTCAAAAATTGCTTCTACCGGCTCAAAGTGTTATATAAAATTGGCCGTATTTGTCGGAGGAATTGCGTGTACAGCTGGTCGAGTCGTTAGTCTTATCCGTAGTAGTTCCGTTTCGGGGGCACGTCACTCCGTTTTTTAATGATCACGCAATACTTAAAATGAAGTCGAGACAGAAATTGCGTCTGGCGTGCTTGCTTTTTGGCGTCATAAAACATCAAGAACCATCTTACTTGTATAATAAACTTGGCTGGGTTGCAAGGAGGCAATGTGATAGAAGACAGTACTCGCAGCAACTTTCGGTACAAAAGCACAAGTCTGCATCTTTCAAGGGAGCATTTCGCTATGCAGCCTCGAAAATATGGAATAACATACCACCACCTCTAAGGCAGCTAAGCTCTATAACTACCTTTAAGTCACCTAAAACAGTACTTGTTAAATGCACAAAAATACCTAGGCATGGTTAACACTAATGCTAACATGTCCTATATCTGATGGTTATTTGAGAGGTACATTTTATGTTCTATATTTTATTTTAATTTATTTTATTTTTTATTTTTTGCTGATTTTATTATGTTGTTACAGTTTCACGCGCAGTATTTTGCTAATAATAAAGTATTTAATTAGTATCCTGTCATATATTATATACATATTTTATTAATCAGTTATTATATAAGTATTTATATTTTTTTTTCATAGAGTTCACGTATACTGATTGTTCTTGCGGAAGTACACGGTACTTAGAGATGAAGACTATGCAATCCAGGGGGCCAATAGATAATCAGCGTTAGGTTTCCAACCTGACATCATGCTGAATTGGTTCCTATCATTTGACATCATCCTGAGGCACTAGTTTTAAGAATATGTATTATGTATAATTTTTTTTTTCCTAATTTTAACTGGCTGTTTGTTTGTTCATAAATTGTTACTTTTTTGGTTTTGATTTTGTTTCTGTGTTCTGGTGCCATGTGTGGGTCACAAATAAATATTTTTCCTTCTTTCTTTCATTAAATTTACACAATAATTAACAACACAAAACACATTAGAGCTTGGTAGCGATTGCCTTGTTCCCAGGAGTATTATCATTCATAAATACCTTAATATAAGAGAGCGAGCCTCATCCGTCCATCTTTTCCTATAAAAATTCCATTTCGACATTTGTTTCTACACTGAGCCGCGGGCAGAAGCTAGTGTCCATTATAAACCATGTTGTGTCACTTACAGGGCGACGCGCGCTTTGCAAGCTTTCCCTGAACTGGGCGAGATATCGAGATGTCACGATTTGGAGATCTATTACAAGTACTGCTACAAATGCACTAAATGTGGATACAGGTATGAAATTTTTCATTTTCTTTGTTATCGCATAACAGTCCAATGACTTGTTTCTCTACCTCATTGGTTTAGTAGTTGCATGAATCGAGCACTTGTTGATCATGTGGCCCCAGTTTAGTCCCAATCGGTTATTGGATTTTTCTGTCACTATATTCCCAGTAGCAGCCCGGAGTCACCAAGTTATCAGTGGTTTTGTGACCTTGACCTCCAATCGGACTATGTGAGTGCGGTCTAACATCTGTGCAGTATCATACTCTTACACTATACTACTGTTCTGTGCAGGCTAGTGCCCGTTGGAACCGGCTGTCATGACCTAAAAATTTATTCTGGAGGACATGTTATTCTTTTTTCATCTTTTTCTCGCTTTTGTGACGACTCAATGGCGCAGTGACTTAGCAAAGAGTTCCAGCGCTGGGGGCTGCTAGAACAAGTATTTATATGGTAAACAAATAATTATTGTGTGTCTGGATGTGGGTCCTTATGAAATGTATGTATGTAAACTGACTCCACGATACGGATGATAATCCTAGTGTGGAGGTATTTTTATGAGAGAAAAAAGGAAGAAAATCTTAACTTTAGCGTCGTGGTTGATACATTCAGCCACACTATAAAAGATAGGTATTGCAACAAATAAACCTTTTGCTTGGCACTCAGTTATCGAAACTTGGTGATTGAAAAAGCTTCAAACTTACTTGTTTCAGAAAGGCTTTTGGAAGTATAAAGGCTGTAAATTTACTTTACAAGCGATATTATTGTATTTTAATAAAATAAAATAATAATAAAATAGAATACAATAAAAATAAAAAAACTACATAAAACTGGAATTGCATTTAAAAAACAATTCTAGGTGCAAGAATAATCAAAAACACGAAACTATAAAATATTTTGCTATATTATTATTTTTTTTTATTTAAACGTTACCTCCACACTAGGATTTTCTCCTGTATCGTGGGGGCAGTTTACAAACATAAATTTCACATGGACAAACATCCAGACCCGGAACAATTACTTATAGACCCGGGATTCGAACCCGCGGCCCTTTCGCTGTAATTCATTGCTGAGCCACTGCGCCACGGAGCCGTCTAGAGAAATTATAATTGAATGCGTTGCCACCTGAATGCCTTACAGCTATACTGGCTCTATACCCTTTAGACCGGAATACAACAATGCTGCCTTGCTATTTGGCAGCAAAAATAGATGAGAGATTATTTTCCCGGGCAGAGTTGAGAGTCCCACCACCCATTAAATGTAATTACAATACAATACTCTTTTTTTTACACCAAGAAAAGATAAAAGAATAACAAAAAAAATTAACAAATATTGAGGGAAAAACAAAAGCGCTCTTATTGTAACGTAGCAATCTCTTCATTCATTAAATAAAAAAAAGAATAACCGGTATGTTGCACTAAAATAAGAAAAAATACCAACTTATGCACTAAAAAGGCAACATTTTTTAGAAATATCTCACGGTTTAATTATACCAGTTCTTTTATAAGGGTTCCATATCCAAAGGATAACCAACGGGACCTTACTAGTAAGCCTCCACTGTCCGTCCGTCCGTCTGTCTGTCAGCGGGCTGTATCTCATGATCCGTAATAGGTAGACAGTTAAAATTTTCGCAGAATGTCTATTCCTGCTGCCACTATAAAAACAAATAATAAAAATAAATTAAAAATCCTTTAATTTTTAATTTATCCTAGTAGAAACGTGTTTTACGTTTTTGGTACGGAACCCTTCATGTGCTAGTTTGACTCGCTCTTGGCCGGTTATTCTTGTAACCAGTTCAACACTGTCGTTTCTGTCGGTCAACTAAAATAATTTAAATGTAACCAGGCATAGCTTAGTGATTGAATTCCTGTCCACTCTACTTATGGTCTTCAGTTGCACACCCTGGCCTCTCTTTCCAGCTTAAGCTTCAAGGTCTTTGACATATTAAAATATTTGATTGAAGTATCTTGTTTTATTTTATGTAGAGCTGTGGAAACTTGGCTCATCGCTCATGTAAAATAAAAATGTAATATAAAAATATTACGCTAGCTGCCTGTGTTCGATACCCGTCAGTACAAATGAAATTACAATTTCATGTGCTTATTTTAGACGGGTTTAAGACTAAAGATATGGCATGTCTTAAGGATAAAAATAATTCGAAGATATTTGAAATCTGCCAACACGCACTGAACCAGTACATTGCTCCATAACCTTCTCTGAAATCATATCTGTGCTATAATTTTTGTCTTATTTTTCAAACGACGACCCGCTTCCGGATTCGCCTAAATGAGATCAATTAATGTGGCGTGTTTATTTTTTGAATTTAATATGGTCAAAGAATATTTATTTTATCAATTTTTCGTATTTCCAAAAAAAAAAACTTCGATCTTTTAAGCGGATAAAATATAGCGTATATCTCTTCTGGTATTGCTCTCTATCTGTTCGTACAGTTTCATCATAATTTTTTCAACTATTCCAAAGACAGACCGATGTACAGACAGACAAAAGTTTTAATAATGGTTGTTTATGTTTAAATAGCATTCAAACCTCCTGAGCTTAATTGAAGCCAGTTATTTCAATATTACAGACAAAATATATATATAAATTACGAGCCGTGGTAGCTCAGATGGTTAACGCTCGCTGTAAATATAACAGAACGCGAGTAACCCGGGTTCGATCCCCGCCGGCGCCAATGAAATTGTTAATTGCAATTTTAAGTGCTGATTTACCACGTGCTCGGCGGTGAAGGAAAACATCGCGAGGAAACCTGCATGTCCGTGTAATAAGAAAAAAAAATATTTCGAAGACATGTGAAGTTCGCCAACACGCATTGAGACTGCGCGGCGGACACTTCCTTGCCTTAAAACCCTCTCAGAAATGAGGGGAAGCCTGTGTCCAGCAGTGGGACGTATATAGGCTGTAACTTTACTTTTAACTTTTATATATAAGTGTGTTTTTATCAATCAGTACAGTACTGTACAGAAGCACATATTTTATTTTATTAAACAGTATGGAAGTACACACTACATTGGTTTTTTATAAATAGTACCTTTTGAAAGACTATTAATAAACGTATGCCCTTTTAGCACCAGGTCACAGATTTATCTATACATACATACATACATATATATATATATATATATATATATATATATATATATATATATATACAATATGTAACTTAATTAACGCACACCCTCAGACACCCCAATTAGTATATTATGTTATAATCATAATACATACACTGAATTTTGGTTAAACATTTTTATGCACTGATTATTTATCAAATTAGTTACACTAATTCCGGAAGAATGTTGTGGTCACAGTATAAATCCACGAACGCAAAGACTTTAATGTGCTCGAAATAAAGTTCATTTTTCTTTATTTTTATTGAATGATAGAATTAGTAATAATACAAATGAAACTGCACTCTTAAAAGTCTTATTGCCTTAAGTTAAGGTCTATTTCAGTTTGTTTTGACTGTACATATTTAGTGTTACTGTAATTTACGTAGTTTTAAAATTTTTTTGGGATAAAAAATTACCTACATTAAAAATGATAGGAATCGATTCAGTAAACGATTCTGAACAAACTACTTTCTCAAAGTGCGTTAATTATGTTACATGTTGTATATATAAATAAATTTATTTACAACAAATTTGTTGATTTCCAGCATAAAACGCCATTCTAAATCAATCGACGTTACTAAGAAGTGTTGTGGATACTGCCGAGGGACGTTCGAAGTGATAGTTAACAAAAAGAACAAAGATGGAGTCGTAGTTTCCACGCCAGCGAGAAAAGGGGGACTCAACGAATTTGCATTGTACGTGAAAGAGAACTATGGGACCCTAAAAGACGGGACCAGGACTCATGCTCAAGTTATGAAACTGCTCGGCGAACAGTTCTCAGCTAGAAAGAAGAAACCCTGTGAAGATAATATAGTCGATACGGATATATGACTGCTTGAGTAAAGTGTGAAGTATTCAATATATAGTAATATATATAAAGTAGTAGCAATATATTTGACAAGCATAATGATCTAGCGCCATCTAGCGAACTAGTTAAGCAATGTACTGCAATGGGATGATAGCTTCAAGATATTGCCCATGAAGGTTAGAGAACAGGAGAACGATCACTACGTACAAGCCCGCTTGAATAGCGGAACATACAAAAAAGACTGAACATTACTTTTATTGACCGAACTTAGCGATCGCAGTGCCTCACTTATGGTGTCCATATTTCTGGGACACTTTTCTAGGGCGATCGTTCTCCTGTTCTCTAATCTTCATGGTTTGCGACTACATGGCGTTGTTTGGAGTTACCATAATATTTCAGTTAGTAGAATTTATTGTAGCACATAATGTTCTTTGATTAGATAATTTCCATAGAGTTAATGCCACATTTTTGTTTTCTTGTGTGTTTTGTGATCAGTTTCATTTTATACGAAGTGCATCTAAATTTTTTTTACTACACATTAGGCAACTTATTTAAGTCGTCGTAGGTTTATGTATATTGTTTTAAGTTTTTTATTGCAATGATGAAAAGCCTTAGGGTCGTAGGAAAACAATGTATTTTTAAAATATGTTAGATATGACAGATTTCTGACAAAAAAATTTACAAATGTGGACTGAAATACGAGATTAAATCATGTTGTACATACTATATTAATTTTTGTAAAGGTGAGTATTATTATATTTTAGATTTATATACTGTTTATAATATAGAGAAAATTTGGACAGTTTATTTTTGACTCTTGTATATATTGTATTGAATTACTAATCAAAGAAACGCGCGACTGATGGCAAGCCTAGTAAATGCCAAAATTTGTTACTTGAAGAAAATTTTATTCTGTGGTGAATATTGTTAAACTGTCAAGTCATTTTCGACAATTTTATGTATGAAGGATATGAGTATTTACATTTTAACATGGTAATTTTGAAAATGCCAATATTAAATATACAATATAGATAATAAAGTAATATAAACGTTATACAAAACTGGTGACCAAAAAACTATAACAAGATTATCTTGCTTCTATTCCTTTAACAATTTGTTAACCTTTACATCAGTTTGTATATGAATGTATGATGAAATAAAAATGTGACTTGTTTTTAGTACATAATTTATTTTAAAACAATTGATGTATACTATTGTATAGTATTTAATTTAATTGAATTATTATTGAAAATGTTAGGAACATTTCAAGGGGTTGTTGAAAATAATTCTACCAAAAACGTATATATGAAAAAGGGACCACGTTCAGTGCAATCGCAAGGGTTATCGGCTAAGCCTATAAAATAATTGATATAAGAACGCGTGCACAGTTACGTAATAGTTCCTTAAATTAAAGACATAATTTGTTGAATTAATAACTTAATAAGTAATGTTAACCGACTTCAAAAAAAGGAGGATGGACTCAATTTGACTTTATGTTTTTTTATGTGTTACCTCAGATTTTTTCCACGTGAACCGATTTTAATGATTTTTTTTTATTTGAAAGCTGATGCTTCTCAATGTGGTTCCATATAAATTTGATCAATATCTGACAAGTAGTTTTTGAGTTATCCTTAATAATGCGTCAATCTCATTTTGTTTACATTGAAGTCGGTTGTACAAAATTTTTGATTTTACCACGTGTTTTGCTACATTTTACAATTTTGTTGGTTATCTTTGCCACATTATAAATATACTTTCATAGAACGTGATCATTTTTAACAATTTAAAAAGGTTGTACATTCCTATTTCCAAGTTCTATATCAGTTCCTGTGATTTAATATACTGCTTGGCACCCGTTCAGATCTTAACTCTTATATAGACTAAGTCACAGCCAGTACAATCCTCATTGTCGTTTGTATGGAATTTGGAACATAGAACCTTTTCATATTTATGTATTTGGTGGTGATATTATTAATTTATGAAGACTGTCTTTTATAAATCTCAATTAATACATTATCTAAAACGTTTTTTCTTGCATTTATGCTAAGTTCCCTTTTTTAAGTTGATCATCATTATCATCATTACAGCCCTTCACAATTTCACTGGTGAACATTGGCCTCCCCCAAGTAATGCCACAAAGCACGGTCCTGAGCCACCGGCATCTATCGACTTTTTTTATAGAAGACGGGGCAAATGAGCATACGGTTCACCTGATCCAAAGTGAGCTTTTTTCTTGAAGTTGCGTTGCCGGCCCTTTAGAAAGGACTAAGCTCTTTTCTTGAAGGTCCCCAGGTCGTATCGGTCAAGAAAAATCGCCGATGGTAAACTATTCCACAGAGAGGTTGTACGCGGTGGAAAACTCCTTGTGAAACGTACAGTGGTGGACCGCCAAGCTTCCAGATGTGTGGATGGTATCGGGAGGTTTGCCGCGTAGTGCGTTCATGAAATTTGGCGACTGCCATTAATCCGAACAATTCATGAGCACTCCCCGTGATAGATGCGATAAAATACGCAAAGAGATGCAACATCTCTTCGCAGTCTCAATCAACTTCATGCATGTCACTAGTCACTCCGGCGGGTCGCCCTACACTTCGCCTACCGGTACGTGGCTGCCCCTCTGCCCTGATAAGGAAGAAGGCGGCTAAGCCACAAAAGTATCTTTCGAGAAAAATTTAAAAAAAGCACGGAACTGGTTTTCTTGATACCAAGAAAAAGGTTTCAAATATAGAAATGCGTGTAAAAAAACGTAACTTTTGTTAATATGTTTTATTAAAAAATACCATACTATTCTGTAAAATCTAAAAATGTAGTTGACGAAATTAGTCATCATTACAGCCCTTCACAAGTCCACTGCTACTTAGGCCTGCTTTACATAGGCCTCCCCCGAGGAATGTCACAAAGCACGTACCTGAGTCACCTGCATCCCATCTACTTCCTGCATGTCTTACCAGGTCGTCACTCCATCTAGTGGGGAGTCGCCCTACACTTCCACACTTTGGTTTTCCACTTTGCCTGCCGGTAGGAGGCTGCCACTCGATAACCTTTTTTCCCCATGGGTTATCGGTTCTTCGAGCTATATATAGTGATTTAAAGCAGCGTATTTAATGTGATAAAAAGTGGTAGAGACAGAGAGAGAAGGATGTGCTAGTTTGTGTTTAGAAGGAAATGGCAGACATTTTGAACAATTACTGCGTTATCGCTAAAAAGGTAATTTTTATTTGTAATTAACAATAATGTATACTATAATTTTATAAATATCAATCAGTATAGTTTGTAAATAAGTTGATTTCTATCTTCGACACGCGACGGCATTATTAATGAAATAGTGGCAATGAGCAGTTGTTAAATCTCTTATCGACCAAGTATTTTACTCATGTGTCATATATGCTGATCTGGTATTAGTAGGCAATATCTAGTACCTACTGGGAGGTCTACGAGCATGCGGCTCACCTGATGGTACGTGACTACCGCCCACCCATGAACAACAGGGGAATTGCAGGTGCGTTTCCGGTTTTAAAAAGCAGTAAGCTCTTTTCTTGAAGGTCCCCTAAGTCGTATCGGTCCGGAAAAATCGCCAGTGGTAAACAATTCCGCAGGGAAGTTGTATGAGGAAGAAAACTTCTAGTAAAACTCACAGTGGTGGACCGCCAAGCGTTCAAATGGTGAGGATATTATCTTGAATTTTGACGCGATGTACGTTCATCAAATTTGGCGGCTGGGATTAATCCGGACAATTCCTCAAAGCACTTCCCGTGGTAGCTCAGATGGTTAGCGCTTGATGTAAATTTCACAGTACGCGAGCAAACGGGGTTCGATTCCCGCCGGTACCAACGAAATTGTTATTTGCAATTTTAAGTGCTGATTTACCACGTGCTCGGCGGTGAAGGAAAACATCGTGAGGAAACCTCTGTCTGAGAAATAAGAAAAAAATATTTCGAAGACATGTGAAGTTTGCCAACACGTATTGGGGCATCGCGACGGAAAATTCCTTGCCCTGAAACCCTCTCAAAAATGAGCGGGAGGCCTGTGCTCAGGAGTGGGACGTATATAGGCTGTAACTTTGACTCCCCGTGGTAGATGTAACATCCCTACGCAGCGCCAGTGAATTGAGCCGATCAAAAAGAACTCTGTCGTCGACGATTTGAAGCGCTCTGCGCGAAATGCGAAAAGTCTTCAAGTAGAAGTATCTGGCACTGGGGTGCCTCGGCCCTGAGATGAGAACAATATTCCATATGAGGCCGAACTTGCGCTTTGTAAATTTGCAAGCGATGTGCCGTCATGAAATATTGTCTCGCTCTGCTGAGCTTTTTAGAGGCCAATTTGGCCTTCCCCTCCAAGTGACCACGAAACTGCACACAACTCGATATATCGACGCAGAAGATTCTGATGCTAGCTGAGGCAGCAAGGAGAGTGCCAACAAACTGAGGAGACAAAAGGGTTCGTTTTACGGTAAACGCGCAAACTTGTTTAAATCATGGAGGTTAGAGAACAGGAGAACGTACTATAGCCCGCCTGTCCTTAAAAATTTGTAGAATTTATAGCGGCGCTGCCGTCGGTGAGTAGTGGCCGCGAAGTTAGCTGCTTATGAGTACAAGTAGATGAAGTTAGTTGAATAATATACTTCTTTGCGGCATTGGTAAGAAAATTTTCATGCTTCGTAATTTTTTAATTTTTGACAAAATGAAACATTAAAAAATGGAGAAATATTTTATTGTGCGTGGATATTTATATTTTTATATTAATATTTTCTATGGCCATCGTTCTCCTGTTCTCTAACCTCCATCGTTCAAATATTGAATAAAACTACTTTTACGGATTTTATCTATATAAATAAATATATAAATGTATAAAAATAAATACCCTTATTTCAGTTTTTGAAAATACAAGTAAACCAGGATTCTACTTTTATTTGAAAAATTGAAATTATCCTATATTGATTGTGATTTATGAGTAGCAACGTTTTACGTATATTTACGTAGGTAAAAACAGTGGCATATACAGGAAGGCGCTACGATTTACACAATAAATGATACCAGCAAATTTATAAAGCGTTTTATTAGCTTACAATAAAAAATCAGCATCGAATTCAACATTCCGTTTTATTTATTTCGTTTCAGTATTTTTTTGTACATGATGTGAAGGGATCAATAAACTGTGTATTTAAAATTAACAAAGTGGCCTGTGGCGTAGCTACCTAGGGGCTAGGCGGGGCAGTGCCCCGGGGCCCACAAGCTCAGGGGGCCTTCGAATCCTTACCAGAAAATCTCGAACGAACTGAACTTTTGAAAATTTCTCCCATTTTCAAAATGAATATGACAGGTTGCAAACCAACTTTAATCATGGCAACTCAGTTGCGAGAAATTCGAGTTATACCTAGGGAATTCCCTTAAATTCTTTTTGTGAGTTGGCAGTGTCGTCAATTTGACGGTTAGCGATATATTCATCGATATGCGTTTTATTATGAATTCGAGTCAAGATTTTTTTTCGAGAACGGTTAAAAATTAATGCTGTATCAGGTGTAATTAAGCCAATGTCAACAAACTTTTTAGTACTGGTTAACATAGTGGTTCAATTTTATTTGATTTTACTACCATTGATGTCTGTTAATAATTTCTGTCAATAAATCATGTCAAATCTATAGATTTGACATGATTTATTATATAAAACGCGAAATATTGTGAAAAAATGCAGGTCATCTGCAGTAGGTGCATTAATTAAGGCCCGCGTGCGAGGAGATCGTTCTTGTTCTCCTAAATGTGGTAACACTAGCGGCGATAAAATGTTAGCCGGGGATTCCCCAACGACGTCCTGTAGCGTCTTATTAGGTTTCTCCTTCCTTTTACTTTTAACATCGTCAGTGAACCTAGAGTACCTACTCGCGCACAATCTATTATAAATAAATATTGCATAAATAAATTAGAAAACAAAAATTATGGACAAAAAGAAGAAACCCAGTGGTGCATTTAAACGCAAACAACGACAAGAAAGAGGAGATAGTAAACCAAAATTACCAAATTTTTCGTCAATCTTCTGCAAGTACTTCTGGACACAATATTTTTATTGATGAGTGACTCAAATAATGTGGTTACTGCAGTGTTGGTTGATAAGCCTACTGAAGAAGACTCGACGGTTATTGCAGTTGGAGATACCTCCGCCGCCGATCATGTGAACGTAGATGATGTTTGCATGGCACACATAAGAGCGGAGGATTTGGAGGAACCACAGACCTCTACATTTTTCGAAAATGTCTGCGATAAATTTTCTTATGACTTGGGAAACTTCACGTACAAAATATTAAGTGATAACGAAAAACGTCAAATTCTTGATATGGGGCCTTTACAGCCTTCAGGAACTTTTCCAACAGATATCAACCAGAATAAAAGGTGTTTTTAAAATCGCTCTACATTTCAAGTTCTAAATATGGATTAGTTAATCGTTTTTGGTTGTGTTATTCCAAAATACGAGACGCTGCCTATTGTCAACCCTGCTGGTTATTTGCTTCACAAAGGAATAATATTTTGTGTACGGGAATTCGGGATTGAAGATATTTATCAGAAAGAATTAAACAACACAGTTGTTCGAGTGGCCATACGGAAGCATGTGCTGTATATGAACTTTAGAAAAAAAAATATACTAAAACTATCGACAAGGAACTTGGAAATATAATTCACAAAGAAGCATCATTTTGGAAAATAGTTCTTTAATAGCGACAATAGCGACAGTAGCCTAATGGCAGGGCTCAGACCGCGAACTCAAAAGGTCGTGGGTTCGAATCACACGTCGTGAACCAACACAAGCGTTTTAAGCTTACCAGGAGTGGTTAAAGGGAATATTAGTAATATTAATTAATAGGATTACTAATATTTTTTTATAAAAAAAGAAGTTATTCGATATCATACTTACCCTAGCAAAGAGTTCTTTGACTTTGAGAAGACATCGAGAAGACTTAAGTCAAGAAGGATACCATGGAAATTTTCTATCCTTTGTAGAGCTTGTCGCCCAATATGAACACATTTTGCGGCAAATTTTGGATATGCCCATAGGATAATTATTATTATTATTTCTAAGTTTTTTATCATTTTATTTTGTTTATAATTGTTAACTGTTTCATATCAGGACTTTTTTGAAATTGTTTTTAGGATCTTACAAGATATCTGAGAGCAACAATTCGAAATGAAATGATTAAGAGCTTGGGGACCAAACTCGAAACCAATCTACTAGAACAAATTAGGGCATCACCGTTTTTCGCCGTCATAATGGATACGACACAGGACATATCGAAGGTAGATCAGCTACGCATTGTTGTGAGGTATGCAGTAATAACCAGATCGGAAAATGGACAACCAATTGATTAAAATAAGTGTTTCTAGGCTTTTATGCAGCCATCAAACATGGCGCAGCGGAGTTAGTCAACCAAGTAACTACATTATTTATCGACAAAAATATTGATTTAAAAAAAAATGTGTGAGGCAAGGTTATGATGGAGGCAGTGTTAAGAGTGATGTGTAAAATAGTGTACAAAAACATATTAAGTATATCCAGCCTAACGCGGAGTACGTACATTTAAATTTGGTGACAAATTATACCGTTAGCAGTTTTGTGGAAATACAGAATTTTTTCGCAACGTTGCAAGATTTGTATAACGTTTTCGGAAACAACATCAAACTTTAGGATCTACTGTCAAAATTCACTGGCGACCAACCAGTTTAGATAGCAGTGGGGCCCCATTTCTTGATTTGCCCCAGGGCCCTTGGTTACCTAGCTACGCTACTGAAAGTGACGTTACCATTCAAAACTTTAAAATCTTTGTTGCCATTTCGATGTTCTATCCCGGCTTCTGTATGAATGCTACCGGCGAGGCGTGGCGGCACGCAACAGTGAATGAGCGTACAAACGAACGACTGCGACGTTGGTAAGTCTATACTGGGTGACTATTTTTACCGTCTGGAAATAATATGATGTTTTGTATAAGTAGAATAGAAGCTATCCTCGAAAATATTTGTAAAATATAACAAAATATAACTAGGTAGGCAAACTTTCCGAATATCTGAATGGTGACTGAGAATCCCTCGCTGAGCATCCACGAAGAAGTTCTATCTTACTCTTCCTGAGCGTAGGTACTCGGGCTGCCCCGCGTATTCTGGGGGGGGGGGGTTTCGCTCGTGACTAAAACTGCACGAGGCAAGCGGAGCAACAACACCATAGCGACCCCTACCACGCTTTCCGTGAATTTTTGCAACATCTGGGGACTTCATTCCAACCTTAACGCTGTCCACTACCATCTCCAGATGGTGAAGTCGGCGTTGCTCTTTTTAACTGAATCGTCAGAGAGGACATCTGCTTTCGACGCCTCGGCAGTCTTGAAAGTACGGACCTGTCCATCCTATGGCTGCGCGTAGATAGCGACGACCATCCCCGCGTCTACGGGTGCCTATATAGGTCCCATAGCGGTAATGCCAAAACAGAGCGACTCATCGACCACGTCCAAATGGCTACAGACTCCGTGCTACTGCAGATCCCATCCGCAGAGATCGTATTCCTTGGCGATTTTAACGCCCACCATGCCGAATGGCTCGGGTTCACGTTAAACCGATCATGCGGGGGGATTTGTTTATGATTTTGCCTTAGCACATGGTCTGACACAACTGGTTACTTTGCCTACGCGGATCCTAGATGTGGAAGATCATACACCTTCCCTGTTGGACCTTCTGCTGACCTCTCATCCGGACGGATATCAGGTTTCCGTCAATGCCCCTCTAGGCGCGCAGGACCATTGTCTTGCCCGGAGTGTGATGCCAGTCACATAAACGTCGTGGTTGCAATCTGCGGGCTGCAGCCGTGTTTGGCACTATAGGTCGGCCGATTGGGATAGGATGGGGTCTTTTTTGCACCCTACTCTTGGGGGCGGGTTTGCTTCGCGCTTCTTCTTGTTATCGCCGGACGATCCTAGATTCTGTTGCTGACGTGGTACTTCGGGGTATAGAACTTTTTATTCCATCATCTGTGGTGCCCATCGGAGGCAGATCCCAGCCATGGTTTGGTCGCTCCTGTGAAATAACATCACGCTATAAGCAGAAGTGCTACCTGGCCTGGGCTGACGCATCATTGTCTTGGCATGTAGCGCTCTTAAAAAGAAGTATAATCCCACCTCCTGGTCCTTCAAAAGAGTCATTGAATATTATATAATCTTTTTATCAATAATTAAAAAATTACTTTGCAGATACTACTTAGCGATGGCAGCGCGGCTATAAATTCTACAAATTTTCAGAGACAGACGGGCTATGCTTTAGCACGTAGCGATCGTTCTTCTGTTCTCTAACGTTCATGGAATATAGTTTAGTTTAAACACACTAACTTGGGTGAATTCCTAGTCCCTACGTTTACGAAGATTGAACACTAGATGGCGTGAATGGAGAAAAAAAGATTTTATTTTTTCTGTATGGGTAGGCAGAACTACAGAACGCCTTTTGCTACGATATATATTATGTACGATTCATCACCAGCCTAGCCTTTTTTCCAACTATATTGGGGTCGGCTTCCAGACAAACCGGATTCAGCTGAATACCAGTATTTTACGATTATGTTATCAAAATAAAAGTTATGTAAGTAGACTAAACTATTTAATGCAATAATAATTTTGGGAAATAAATTATGGTAACAATAAGAACAATAAAACGCAATTTATTTTATTAGTGTAAGGACACTCAAATCAAGTATTTGAAGTCACTCGCCTGATACATGCCTATTTTCTCAAAATTAATAACACAGATGATTTGCAAGATAACCAATTATAAGATTAGACATTACATAAAACAGAAAATTGCAATTAACAATTTCATTGATGCCGGCGGATATCGAACCCGGGTTGCTCGCGTACTGTGAAATTTACAGCGAGCGATAACCATCTGAGCAGCTACCACGGCTCGAGCTTCGAAAAAACCTCTGTCCTGGAAAGAACCGGCAAGAAACCCAGCGGGACTTTAAAAAAATTTAATTAAAGGTTGTTATCAACCATGTATTCATTTATATTATAATAACCCTTTTTATAAAGTTTTTGTTTAATTAAATATTTAAACTTGGTAATTGGCGGGGTCTGATGTACCAGATTTCAATAAAGGTATGACTACTACATTTCATTAAATCAGGAAACACATCAGATTCGATGCTTGTATTAAAAATAGTGGCTAAATAAGGTGATATTGTATATATTTCGGATGCAATAACTTTAATGGAAATCTCTCGAAAGTCTGCCGTTTTCTTAACATCAATAGTTTTAAAATATTTAATGATATCTTTTGGCAATACTCTATGGAATTTAAAAGTATTTGAACAAGCCTTTACATGTTGTAGCAATGCTTCGGCGAAAGTAGTAGAAGAATTTTATGATTTTTTTTTCTCAAAAGCCATAGCAACTTCTTGAATTGAGTTATATTATAATATTCAGTTGCAGATCAGAGTTGCGTGTTTTATATATATATATATATATATATATATATATATATATATATATATATATATATATATATATATATATATATATATAGTGCACGAAGGTCAAAGTTAGGAAGAACAGCAACGTCACATAATACTACTATGTACTACGGATAATGGGGTTTATGTTGCCACACAACAATAAAATGAAATGAAATTGTTTACATTGCCGTCAAAGGTCGTCATCAGTTTTAAGTTATTTTATTGTTCTTTTTTTTTCAATGAAAGGTAAGAAAGGAAATAAATCAAATTTATATAAGATATTGATTTATAAGAATTATAATATCATCTATATACCATCTAGCGTGCCTATATCTAAACTATCCCGTGCACATTTCAGTGTAGAAAAGTGATGAAATGATTAGTTTTAAACAAATAGTGTTTGTGTTTAGTGTAAAGCTCGAGACAAAAATGTATGGGCGGGCTGTCGGAGCATCCACCTTAAGTTTAAAATATGGCTACTCTTTAAAAAAATAACCCTGTGTATGCGAAATTGGTTTCCCGCAAACTGCTCTATTAGAACATTAATTACATCCAAATATATTATTATTTGGATTGACTCGGATGTAATTTTAAACCAAGTTAGGTATAAGTGCCATTCTAGAGAAAATTATATTTTATTTTCTAACGGCAAGCAAATCTTAGTTCTTCAAAATTAAATAAAAAGTAAGTAAAAAAATATTGAATTGAAAAGGTTTAATAAATATTATTTTAAATATTTAACAAACAGCAGTTAAATGGTTGTCAAAATTACAAACTCAATATTTACAATTTTTATTCAAAAGAATAAAGATTTGCTGTACAAGGATACCACTTTTTCTTCATAAAATATTTTTATGGCTTGTGCAAACAAGTTTTGATTGAAAAAATAACTGGAATTCTTTACTTACACACATTCGTTCGTTTACTACTCTGCTTGATTACAGGTTTTCGCGCCATATAAACAAATTTTACGAGCTCTGTAGGCGAGAATTATTGTCAACGTCAGAGACCGGATACAATAAAACAGCAAAGATTCAATACCGTTTTTTATTTATTTTTATACATAGTAAATGTCAGTTTTTGTTAAATGATAAAAGTAGGTACAGTCTTGGAAATATTAAAAGAAAATATATAATTTACAACAAATGCGAACGCGTGCGTTCATTCCTCTTCAGGTGCACTATGGCAACCCTTTTTATATACACATACTTAGAACTAAACGGGAATAAAATTAAAAAGTGGCATTGTATGGTGCAATGATATATCCACCATACTTAATTGTATATCGTATTTACATAGGAATTATAATTATATGAGCACTGTTAATTATCGTCACTTTGTATTAATTTAAAAAAATTAAGTAAGTGTACGTTCATTTGCCAATTTATAAATATTCTTTAGTATTTGTCCTAGTCTATACAATTATTTCTTTTGTTTACCTATCTATTGTAGAGTGCCAACATTTATTACGCGACATTTGATCTAATAGTTATAATATGTTCAACATATTATTTATATGTTGCACATGTAACATTATCTACACCAATATAATTCTGTGATTGTGAATTACATTCTATCATAAATTCTGATATTCTAACACACATGAATGTTGCAAAAGTTGCGTTCATTAAATAATAATAATACAATAATAATGAATAATGGCAGGATTATGGTATATTTTCGTATTAAAAAACGTGGTGACTAGGCAAAAATGATATACAAACTGAGTATTTTCCCAAAATCGTACTGCAGAGTAGAGGAGCTCTGAGATTTTATATTAAAGTTAACTGATTTTAATTCCACATATGGCAATTCTACATTCTCATAATCTTTACACATACAGTTACATAAGGAAACGTGTTAATACTTATTTTATCAAACAATTCGCAATTCCCAGTAAGTCTCAAATGTTACTATTCAAAAAATAATTTGCATTAAAATTGGGAAAAAATGAATAAATACTTGCAACATCTCACTATAATTGAATTGATATACAACAATATTAATCATTATTTTAATAAAATTTAATGGACAATACTTATGAAAACAACGACAAATAGATAAAATTGGACATAAATACAAGCTTAAATCCGGTCCCACACCATACCACACAAATATCGGTCATCCAATATATCGGTTGGTCTGTGACTCATGTACTTTTAGTTAATAAAATTTTATGTTCCTATACTATTTATGGACAAAATAATTGTTAAAGAAATTATGTTCAATATATATATCACATACTTATTTATGGTACTATTTCAATATGTCAGAACTTTACACTTAAAATATCGTTAACTGTTTCTATAAACTTGTATAATCATAATATCAATGTCTTTTAAAAAGTTAATTGATAAAAAGACTAAAAATGACGGCAAAAATATTGCAAAATGATTTTAAAACTTTGTTGCTAATGTACCTTAACTGTATTTTCAAAACATCATTTTCATAAAAATGCTAAACTTACCGCCCAGTTTTCGCAAATAGCATATCGCCTTTAATGCCTTTACTACTACAATAAAGAAAACTTATTTTAACAGTGATAAATGTCCAACATTCGAAATTACAGCGAGTATAAACTATTTACGGGGCGTAATTCTTGGCTTACGTAAAATGGCATCACCTCCAACGAGAAATAAAATTGTTTGTATAATACACTGATGGGCCTTAAAATTTAAAAAATAAAACGCTATGTACAAAAGGCCGTTCTCCTCGGGTTGTCTTAAATATACCGCGTTTTAAACCTATCTATCAATTTACAATGTTTATACATGAGATGCACGAAAATTTCACTTGAAATCTGACTTGCGCCAAGCCCTAATCAAAAACTGAGATCTGTCGCGTTCGACAGATTTATGGTGAATCAGGTTTGTGAAGGACCATCTTCTAATGGTCGAAATCTAACGAAACCATCCTGTGCAACCAGCATACTATTGCCACCCTCGTTTGGGTTAATTTCGTCCTGTGGCTGGGAGTACGAAGCCTCGTAGCCACAATTTCTTGGAGCCGGTTGGGGCGTTCCTAAAGCACACGGGTACTCCCTGTCGTTAGGATCCTCGGAGAATCCGTAGAGGTCCGTCGATTTGGGTCTATCGGGGAACCCGTTGCCCTTCCCACGCTTCTGACTACCACTGGAGTTAATCATGGCCGTTGAAGGCGAATTACGGCGCTGTGAACTTCTGATTTGTTGGCAAGGGCCTTCGTAACTTCTGTTAGGGTTGAGAGTTTGTATACCAGAGGAATGGTATGAAGCATTCTCAGCATTATAATTGCTGTATTCGTCTAGCACATGAGGCTGGTGGTAATGATGATTCATCGAGGGATCATAGCCCATCGTCATGCAGTTTTGAACATTCTTATTCTTGACTCGATGCTTCTTACGTGGGTTGCTGTTTGTTCTAGATGAAACTCTGTCATAAGACATATGTTTGAAATTATGTGAGCTCCTATTCGAGCCTCCATTGTAGTTCTGATTCTTGATATCTCGAATGAAGTCGCTGTTGCTACCGTATTGAATGACGTTGTATTCATGGTCCAGTGGATCGTCGCCTTGCAAGGACTGTATCGCAGGATCACAATTCGAGTAATGATCGTCCGAAACGGATTCTATACCATTGTAGCCGGCCATATTTGGATGATGCTTGATCAAATGATTAGTCACACCCTGGGCAGATGCAGCATTGCTAGATTCCGTAGAACTGCTATGGCCAGCGTTGGCTATAGAACTGTGGCCGGAATAATTCTCGGTCCCAGAGTTATTGTCACAGTTAACGGCTAAGGTGTTCAGTGGGAACCGTTGGTGCTCTATCACATTCCCGACGAAACATTGCTCCGGTATCACTGGATGATGGCCAGCGGTTTCGTAGACAGGTTTCCCAGTTCTTAATGTATACGTTTTGAGATTTGTATTAGTGTTGCATATTGTCGGATAGTCAGACTCGAATTGCTCGTTACTAGACCCGGCAGTGCAAGGAAAAAATCCCGATATCTTTTGTCCGTCTGCTTTCTCGTGCTGCAGGGACGCTACGATCCCGATTTTGAGACTTATCACCCAAGAAATAAGGGCCACCACACTGATTTCTATCAACCGCAGCGAGAACTGATAACCCCATTGGAGCCAGTCGAACTTAGTCATACTGACTTGATGGATTCCAATTATGCCGTAAATCTGTAGAGTCGCCATTAGCACGAAAAGCAACGCCGTCGCCAGATTAATATGTATCGCCTGATACAGATTTTGGAATCCGTGAATGTAATTGTGGCTCTTCTTCTGAAGCACAGCTTTCAGCATTTTATATACGTATAGATAGCACAGCCCCAATACGAGACACACTATGATAAATATTATTTGACAAGTTAGCCCTAGCACCCTTTTTTCGACTCCATGCGGGGTCCTATATATTGTATTACTATTTTCAAAGATATGCAACGTTACACATGTCAATAGGAGTACACCACCGCCGACAACGACCGTCCTGGATCTAAATAAGAAGGTGCAGCATTTGTTCCTATAGTTTGCGCTATTCGTGAGTAGGAACAGGATGGTGCTAGCGAACGCTATAGCTAGAAATATTTCGGGGACATGAAGCAGGATCTCGCTGATGAAAATCGGCAAGGAACTGTTAATGTTGTACGGATCGTAGCAGAGATAGAATATCCTCATCAGACAAACGAACACGAGAATTAAATGCAATATTATGAAGTAGTACTGCGTGAATAGATGTGTGAATTTGTTGTAGCAAATGATCTTGAAGATCGAGTAAACGGCTAGTATAGTGAACATCACTGTAGCTAGATAAATATGCACGTTCCAGGCAAACGGCCAAGTTGCCCCTGGCCTTTGTACTGGACTATTGTTCTTAGGGTCCTGTTTTAAGATCTTCTTATCCGAGTTCACGTTCGCTAGATTGTGATACCTCTCCGTGGACATTTCTGGATCTTTCAACTCGAAACCTATAGTTGTGGCTGGCATATAGTTTTCATTGTTTCTGCTACTGTCGTTCCGGTCCGACTTGTTTGTCGAGTATTGCAGGTTTCTTCTTGTGTTTGTTTCACCATCCTGATCTATTATAAGTGGCCTGTCTATATTCATTTCTGGATCTAGGACAGCCAACACCGATCCTTCTGTAGACGAATCTCTCGTGGAATCACTTAAAGTCACACTAGTGTCTTTAGTTACGAAAACTTCACTTTTCGACGTTTTCTCTGGCGTGTGCTGGGGTTTCGCGGTGACGGTTCGAAGGAGAACGTCGGGGATGTCTTCCTTTCTGCCATTAGAGCCCGACAGTATTCTCGATATGGTCGGGATGTTGAGCGAATTTGGGACAAAGTCTGTGAAATTCGCCTGGTCCGTTCCATGTTTGACGTCGCTGTCTAAATCGTCAGGCTGTAAGAAAAAGAAAACAGGAGTTAGATAACCGGTTAATAATATAAGAAATTGTAAAGAGATTTATTGGACCACCGTTCACCATTACAGCATATCTAAGTCCACTGCTGATCATAGGCCTCTCACAGATTTATAAACATTATTTACAAAGGGGGCACATTTGCCATATTTGCCACGCTTGGCAGCCGGGTTGGCAACTGCAGTTTTTTTGTTATTTTGAGCTGTTACCATTAAGTTATTGGTGTCAATCTCTCCGATTTCTATATCCCTACGTCATCTGTCACACCCACGAGATGAAACGGGATGGTGAATCTCTCACTCCACTATACAGTGAATTTGAGTCATGAGTGATACTCCGTTTATCCATCTAAGGCTTAGGTGACACGATCAATTTTATCTCTTCTGAGCCAGTGCTTAAATACTATCTCACCTGATGGTTCTTGATGATGAATCTTTTACCTAACCTAACTGTAACACAAACCTACTGGTGTGTTCCAGTTTAAATATTAAGGTTAAGACAATCCTTTGTATTATTTATATATTTATTTTAAGTTGCAGATGTTGAAGGTAACTCATGTCCTGCAAGGCCAATATAATGTGAACTATTGATGTGTTTATCATACATGTAAAAAGTGAGGGATGCAGTTACAGATATTTTGCGATATGTACAATATATTGAGACCCAAAAATTTATCATTTACATTAAATAGGTTAACCTCAGCTGGGATTCGAAGAGAGGATCAGCGGGTTTTTTAATTAACCATTTAATTCTTTAAGCTTTAAATTGTAACAAACGGTCACATTACGACTGAAAGTTAACCAATTAGACTCATTAACAATTAAATTTCACAAAGTCTATGGAAATTCTTCTTAGGAAACGGGCTAGAGTTTTAAATTGATAACATTTAAATTAAAATACTTGCGGAGCTGCATACAAATACCGACCTTATGGCTAGGTGTATTGAGTGGTTTTTTCTTCTGCGGCTCGAGACCACTCGGAGGGGACGGGGGCGCGGGTGGAGGCGCTGGCACTTGCGGAGACGATGTTTCCTGAGAGTTGTAGAAGTATTTTATTTTTATATTATTACCAAATTGCAATTAGTTGTTTAAAACGAAACAATAATTATTAAAAAAAAACACCAAAGTTTGTTTAATATTTACAGGAGACGAAAATTGGCAAGATACGAAGAGTTAAACACAAAAAATAATTATTACCAGCGCATTGATAACCTCTTTTGTGTGTAAGTACTATTTATGTATGAATATATGTGTGAATGTTATGACGGAATTACATGATTCAGTATTTCATACACGTTGCTGACGTCTGAAAAATATAAAATTTTGCACAGTTTCTTAGTAAAACCACCAAAGATCGTGATCAATGCGTGTTGTTATACATCGTAAGATGAACATACAGTCAGTGAGCGCGTTTGATGTGGTCGGAAAAGTCTTTTTAAAGGGAAGTAATAAAAAATAAAAGGGAAGTAATAAAAATTTCACGGTTAAACAAATTCCTATGTATGTGAAAACTGATGAAATTTTAATTCGTTATCTTTGAAGACGACCCACGGTTTTTACCGCACATGTAGTGGGAACCATTTTAATTAATTTGCATGACAGGACAACCCTAGCGGACAGTTCCCGAGCTACTAACGGCCGCTCGGGAGCAATCTGCACCGCTCCGCACCGCCCGATTGCCCCGTCTCATAGAAATATAAAACACTTCTTCTATATATATAAGCCCCGTCTAGACGCCTTCGAAGACCGGCTGAGAGACTGCGACTGAAGTATATCAGAATAAGACTAATGTTTTTAACGATAAATTATTAAAGAATATACATCTACGAGACATACATAGTACAATAAAGTTAAAAAAGTTAAAGTTACAGCCTATATACGTCCCATTGCTGGGCACAGGCCTCCTCTCACTCCTGAGAGGGTTTAAGGTTAAAGAAGAGCAAGGAGGTGTTTGGGGCCACAATGCATATTGGCGAACTTCACATGTCTTCGAAACATTTTTTTTATTCCTCAGGCGTGCAGGTTTCATCACGATGTTTTCTTTCTCCGCCAAGCACGTGGTAAACCAGCAACATAAAATTGCAATTAACAATTTCAATGGTGCCGGGAGGGATCGAACCCGGGTTGCTCGCGAAATGTGCGATTTACAGCGAGCGCTAACCATCTGAGCTACCACGGCTATGTAAACTAAGTACAATAAAATACTTTTATGTATATGAGTGGAAAAGGTCTGCCATTTATCATACAGGACAAGATTCTAATTTAGATGAAGTTTTCTAGTATTTGCCTTTGTTGTCATGGATTTACTATTATCAGATACATTTTAAATATATAATGTTATATGATGTTTTATATATATATACTTGTATGTATATCCATTTATTTATATATTTGTATATATGTAAGGAAAGATCATATATGTATAGTTTATTTATTTGCAGTTTGTATATATTATGTAGTTAATTATCATTAACATTGTGTTATTTTATTCTATATTGCCACACCTACATCAAATTCTCACCACTTCATGAGTTGACTGGTAGAGAATGCCTCAAGGCATTAAGTCCGCCCTTTATATTTATTTGCTTAAGGATGCAATAAAGAATAAAATAATAAATAATAATAATAATATTATGGCGAATAAATATAACTCCGTGGCGCAACAACTGACAGCGACAATGAGTTACGGCGGTGACGGTCGCAGGTTCGAATCCCGCACGGAGGAAGTAGTATTTCTATGACCCACAAGTAATTGTTTTGGGTCTGGATGTTCGTCCTCATGCAAATTACGTATGCCACGCCTCCACGATACAGGAGAAAGTCCCAATGTAGGGGAGGGGTAACGTATTAAGAAAAAAAAATGAACAAGTGATCTAAGTCTTACCTGTCCAGGTGGTCTGATGGGGATCCTCTCGTGGCCAGGGCCGAGTGAAGGGGGAGGGATAGGCCGCCGGTTGAGATAGTTATTTCCGTCTGTGTTTGTGCCTGCGGGAAGAAAATTGATAAACCGTTACAATCATATGGTACGTTTTGTTTATGAAAATACTAGTTGTGCTGCTTCGTAATACTGGCTTATTTTATATGTCAGAAGCCAACGCGGGTGTGCGCACAACATCTCAAAAGTTTCATCGTAATCAAATGCATCTAGGATCACTTAAAAGACTAACAAACAAATAAAATATTCATTTATTTGTCATATACCTTCGCGGTTACAACAACTCATCAAAGTTTCATTATAATCAATTTTTTTTAAACTTTAACTCTAATCGGATGAATGGTAAAACGCATTGAAAATGCTTGATAAATATTTCGGTTTCCGATAGATGGCGGTATATTACCTCTTTTACTTTCAAAGGGAAGCAGCATTAAAGGTCTACGATCGATTGAAAAGACGTCTGGTACTAGGATTGCCAATCCGTCTGTCAATCGTGGCGACGATATACATAATATAGATGTGCCACGAATGGCTCGGCTCGACTGGGATAGGACCATGCTCTCAAAGAATTTTTGCGTAAAATAGAAGCTTAATGCTGCTGTTTTGTATGGTGAGTGTAGAGAACCGGAAACGAGGCATTCCATCTTAGTTCTCAGGGGTGAAAACGCAACTGTATTTTGATTCTTAATCAAGGATAAATGTAGATGTGTATGGACCACAGCATCCTCTAACCATCAGTTGGACTGTGTGCTCGTTTGTCACACTTATTTAAAGAAAAATTGTAAATTCACCCAACGGGAGAGCTCCATGTCCAGCAGTGGAATTTTCCGTGCTGCTGATGATGATGACGGAGAAGAATTCTCATCCTCTTTTCATTTCCAGATTCGCTATTACTTTAGTGAACGAATAAAAAAGCTACATTAGCTTAAGGATTGGACCGATCGATCGGATCGATCCCCGTCGGCACTATTAAAATTGTCAATTCGAATTTTAACTGTGCCCAGCAGTGAATCCTGTATGCCGAAGGAATAAAATGTTTCGGGAACATATGAAGTCCGTCAACACGCATTACAGGGGCGCGACGGACTAATTGCTTTATAACACTCAGAAATGAAAAGGAGCCTGTGGCCAGTGGGACGTATAAAGTCTTACTTTTACTAGTTTTTCAATAGTTAAAAGAGCGGTTACCTCGTAGTGTCGGCTTATCGGCGAATGGATTCCTATACTCGGGCGGCAACGGAGGAGTGAAGAAGGCACGACCTGGCGGTGCGTAGGAGGGCACCGCGCCATTGCCGACGCCCGCAAGTAGCGCCGCGCCGTGATGCTGCGGCGGTCTGCACAATAAAATTATGTATATTTTAGTTCGTGAGCGAAAAACTTTGTAACCCCTTTTTAAGAATATTTCGCGGTACACGTATAGAGAAGGTGAGATGTGTGTGTCATGCGAGTGGTTTTTTGGCATTGTTGAAGTTAAGTTTATATAGATATGAAGTGCAGAAATCTAAAATTAAAATATATTTAATATGTGTTACATTACATTTTGTTTTTATATTATTTTACTTACTGTAGTTACATTTAGTAAAATAATATAAGACATTCATTGTTAATGTTTATACTGCCAAAATATATAATAGTCTGTGGTCAAACAGTCGCACAGAGTAGAGATTGCCGCCAAAGAATTATTAAATTTTGCTAACAAAATCCAACTTAATTTTGTGTGATTTCAAATGTCCCGTTTTCAATATTCTGTGGAGTGTAAAATTTATTGATTTACGGTCGAATTTCGATCACTAGCCGACCACTAGGTCGCTTAAAACAATGTCTAGATTGAAAGCCTGCTTCTGTCCAAAAGTAAGTTTAGATCGACACCATCATATTTCGCTGCTCTAAATCCCTCTTGGAATTGATAAGAGCCCTGTGCTGAGCAGTGGGACATATAATACGTTTTAACTTTTTTAGAATGAAATAACATGCTTAAAAATCGATTATAATAGGAACAGCAAACTCAACGAATCCCATTAAATGGAATTTTCATCGAATATATTTTCCCAGAAATGAGAAACACTTTTGACTTTAATTACTTTTTATATTAGATTTTGGATTGGCTTGTTCAAGACGGCTTGTTCAAGAGTTTTTAAATTATGAATAAAATCAACATTCGATTATATAAATTGGTTTTTGTTTTCCACAAATTATTGACTTGGTAGTTTTAAATAATTACGCTAAAACCGTTGTCAATATTTCATAAATATTGATTGTTCAATATTAAAATATTGTATTACGAAAGCTTTCAGCCAGGATAATTAGAAAATCCGGGTATTTTCCTTAAAGTAGGACAAATCTGGGTAAAGCTCAGTAAATCTTTATTCGATGTTGGAGGCTACGCACGAGGTTATAGCATAAAAATAAAGATTCTATACAAAATATTGAGCAGGACATTTTCAATTTTTATAACTACACTAAAAAGCCTTGTTACTAGTTGTGATAGCACTTGTAGGAATTCTTTTTTTCTTTTTTTTTTTTGAAAGAACGGACAGACAGTCAACCTGACAGTAAGCGGATGGAGCCTGTAGACACCACATTTAAATAAATATAGAATCTATATGTCGAAGCTTTCTCACTCCTGAGGACTTAGATGGAAAGCCGAGTTACGAGTGAAAAGGGTATTTGGGTCTCGAAACTCCAAAACACGTCAGTACCGTTTTTATATTACGCTGCTACTGTGAGAGTGTGGTGGTTCTCAGATAAAGCCTACCAAGTCATGCTGCTACCATAATTTGTACACAGTGTGGCACTACCACGTAATAATTCCCGGGACGTTGGTCACGTTGGCGTGAAAACAATTGTATTGCCTGACTTTACAATGAAGGTACAGTGGAGGCACTGTAACAAAGTGTGTATGTATCGCCATCCTAATATAATATAGCGTTGACTTGTCGAAATACCTACCTACCTAATAATAATAGTTCTGAGTTTAAATCCCAGTTGGAACCAACGCGTGCAAAACCAGCGCGTCTGTTTGTGTATTTTGAGTAATTCCAAGCTACTGATGCTGCTTCATAGTCCTTGCTCGCTTGCTTCATAGATGAGGATAATTTTTTTGACCAGTAACGTATATTCGATTCTGTATCCGCTTGTAACTGCTAAAGTTGACGTCGGATTTGGACTAGAACAGATATCAATCGATTTGTCATTAGAACACAGATAACTAAGACTTTATGACGTCAGCTTAAATTGCGGAAGGTCGAAAATTTGCGACTAAATCTTAATATATATAATTTACGTGTCACGTTGTTTGTCCGCGATGGACTCGTAAATTACTTAACCGATTGTAATCAAATTTGCACACGGTGTGCAGTTTGATCCAACTTGAGAGATAGGATAGTTTTTTTTGCCCATGAGTGACACACAATTTTTTTTGCGAATTTAAGCATTTTTAATAGGACATGACAGGGTCGTCGAAAAGGGCAGAATAACGTCTGCCTGGCAAGCTACTATAATTATAATTCGCAAATATTTCGTGTATGGTAGGCATCACGTTACGATGACGTTCCAAATATATTATTTGTATATGAAATATGTTTTATGTTAGTGATTTCACTACTACCGATCTGCCGGCCGAATGGCCGGGTCCATTAATAGCAATTTTTTTGTTCATGTAAATTTGTCGTTCACGTGAATAGTTGAAAAATAATTGAATCATACTCTGTCCATCTCGCCGCTTATTTTTTCCTACGAAACGGTTCATTAAAATGCTGTAAACGTCGCGAAAATAAAGCGAACGGGCGTCGAGGCAGCGGGCGTTCTGCCAATTTTTCTGATTTCCATACGCGCGGCAAAGTCCATCTAGACCCTTGGCGCCCTGGGTACAACACAAGAACGGGGGTCATTCTACACTGAACACCATTAGGTCATCGCCACGATTCAACTAGTGCCTATATCGTGAAAATCTGCGAGAATTTAGATCGACGACGGAATTTTAAATTCCAAATGCGTTCCGCTAGTAGGTAACGGGAGGAGGAGGGGGGGGGGGGGTAACGGCTATATCCGCAAATTTGCACGTTATTGAAATCGAACGGCATCCATACGTATGCGGTTTAAGCAAGCGGCGTCATACGCGACAATTTATAGGAGAAAATTAACTCACGTATGTACATATTTAAATATAGTGATTGAGCACTCCTGCTCCACCAGGAATTTAAATTGAAATGTCCGTCAGTACGGATTCGATTCTGCGGAATGGCAGTTAATAAGTGCATTTCATGTTTTCGTTCATTTCGAATATTTATTCGGAAAATTTCGCATCGCTATTCATGTAGGTAGGTAATTTAATTTCGGCATGTTTACGTATAGTTTATGAGATGAGTGTTGAAATCTGTATAATCAGTTCTTTAATTTTGTACAAACATTAAGTAGGCGGTGTCCGACCTGCTAATGATGTATCAACTCCTGGCCGTTGTCAACTGCACTGAACATATATTCTTACATAGGTACTATATATAACTAATAATGCCAATATACGTTATGTAAATATACATTTATTATAAAACTATATTATACACA